TAAAGGTAGCTCAAAATCTCAAGGTTCCTCCCTATCTTAAAAGTTAGTAACGACTTTGTCAACGACTTGGGCCCGGCTCAAGCATATCATGCATTAAACGCGCTAAAGAACTTTTAATTTGACAAATGAAAGTCAAAAAGTAATATATATATATAATAACTGAAAGAGGTTAAATTATAAGTTTCTACATCTTTTCCCTTCTGAGAGTTGCTTTTGGCTCCAAACTGTAAAATCTGTAATCCGCTTCCAGATAAAGATTGCTGAACCCGCTGATAAGATTTTTTTTTATTAATAAACAATTTCACTTCTACGAGAAAAAGGAAAAGGGCTTGGATCTTCTACATGTGACCTTTGAAACAACTACGTTAAACGATCCTGGGATTACTCCGAGTGCACGTGGGGTTTTACTTTATAATCCCAAGTGTCCTGGTCACTGTACACCTCCACCTAATCAATGTAATAACGAGTTCACTGCACGTAGGAGAAAAGGGTCGTTCGAACGACAGTACGTTGCTCCGATTGAAAAATGAACGCCAAGTTCTACGAGAAAACATCCCGACGAATGTTGTTACTCTGGGAATATTATGGGTCTATACCGCAACTACAAAGTGCGGTACATGTAACAACATGCGTTGTTACCGAAGTAGGTACTTCAGTCAGGTTTCTACCCCATTATATTTAGTTGGTGGGGTGAATGACACCCTAGGGCCCACGCATTGCGTCGTAAAACGCAAATATACATCATATTTAATTCGTCGTAAAAGTGTGCCCGAAGCGTTTTAACTGTTTCATATTAACATAAACGTTTTATTATGGACACGCATCTCGGGATTGTTGCACATATTTCATTATGTGCACGTAGGAAAAATGATAGCGGCGTTTTGTACTCCACCGCTAATGAAGAAAAAAAAGAACTCCAATCCAACTTTCGATGTTTTCGTAAGCGAATGATTGCCACAAGAAATAAATTACCTTCACGTTGTTCCAGTGGTTGCAGTTCTTTATGCAAAATAAGTACAATTGAGATTTTTTAAAATTATGAAAATTATTAAAAAAGTTGCACAAATTAGGTACCAATGTATTTGTTTAGAAGACTTGGTGGAATTCCCCTTACCTTGGTGGATGGTTGGGAGGATGCTGTAGATCGGCGTGGAAGAAGTGACATTAATGGGAAAAGAAAGAAAAGACCGTTCGCCATGGTTATAAGAATAAGAAAGAAAAAGTGAATAAAAAATATATCACTTGTAAAATGTTGCGATTGGGATTTTGAATGAATCTGTCATCGAATAATCGAATCCGGCATGGAATTGATGACGAGCCAATGAAAAGTACGAGTAAGCCGCTTCTAAACGCTAAATTTATTTATAAGGACGTAGAACTTACCTATCGCTTGATTTGCTTATGTTCTTTAGCGGACTATATTAAAGTTGCGCTTTTAAAGTATAAATTACATTCGTACATGTTGGAAATAAATTATATTTATAATCTTTCTACAATACCGAGTGAACATTCAATTTCACAGATTCAAATGTAATATTGGCATAAAATATTGGCCAAAATATTTATAAGAACGTGGAACTTACCTATCTCTTAATTTGCTTTATGTTCTTTAGAGGACTATATTAACGTTGTGCTTTTAAAGTATAAATTACATTCGTACATGTTGGAAATAAATTATATTTATAATCTTTCTACAATACCGAGTGAACATTCAATTTCATAGATTCAAATGTGATATCGGCATAAAATCCAATAACACCAAAGAATACCAAAACTATCCTCAATTTTGATAATGCGCGTGGCTTGATTCGACTTAGCCTTGATGATTGCGGTTTCCATTACAGCTAGGCAGTAGCTTAGCTCATTCCAATATCGAGGAAACACCAGGATCGTCGAAGCCCTCCGGAGCTCCAATTCATCACCCCTTGTCTAATTTGAATTTCGGAATAGCCTTGGCAGTGGATCGACACGGACTTCGCAGCGTCGAATTATCTTCCGTCATCTGGACTAGGTGGTTCACAAAACTAGAAGGATCCATTTTATTAGACGTAATGCCGATACACGATCCCAAAACCACCGGCGCCCGGCTTTATCTGGTTGTAAAAGTGTCCAGTTAGAGAAAAATATCACCCATTAGTCGAGCCTCGGGGAAGAGCAATTACATACAATGATTTATTCCAATTTTGCGGTGAGCAACCCATGACTCATTGCGGTAGTTTTTTGGGTATTCCAGGTGAATCACGGAGCCGGCATATGAACAATGCCGTCATACCCCCGGAGAGGATCGATCCTATGAGCATCGGCGTCGTGACGCCTACGTCGCGTTCAACAGGCAGTCGACACTGCCGGTCCGCGCACAAGGTCGTTCCTAGCGAATACCTAATCATTACTAGGAAACGATAATCCAGCTCGAGCGAGTCCCTCAAGATCAGCCTCTACCCCAATCAGTGAACTTATTGCCTCTTTATGGAGGATTTACGTGTAACGACAGAGCTGTTCAAAAGGATACCCCAATTTCGATTTTTCGACATTAATCAGTTCTCTGACGTTAGGAAAATTCCTAGCCTCCTAGAACCTCGGAAAGGTTGCAATGACCATTTTCAAGATTTTCTTTCCATGGCTTAGGCTTCTCGCAGGGGCTCGCATTAATTTCCGCAAATAAACCGTGGGGAGTACTTATACTGAGAATTTTTTGAAACCGATAGGGACTGGCCTTGACAGCTGGGAAAATTCAGAGCCTCCCGGAACCTCGAAAACGTTTAGATGGTAATTTTCGGAATTTGTTAATTTTTCTTTAACGGCTCTGGTTTTTGTGAAAGAAAATAAATGGCACGAACGTCTACATCATGGAAAGATTCCAATAAGCCTGTTAATTTGGTTTGTGCCTCAAACTGGATTCCAGGTTCACACAGCCGACAGGTGGCTCGAACCCACTAAGCCCCGCACCGTGGGAAACCAAATGTACACGGCAGCATGACTGGTTGACTGCAGTAAGGCGCTGGCGTGAATTGAGCCACTCTACCTATAAGTTGGACGCAGTTGCTCGCTTCTGTATCTCACGCACGGCGACGAATGAATACAGAACGGTACCGGATTAATGACAAAACCAGTAATGGTTCCACATCAAATTCCACATCGAATACTGTACTGTTACGCAGGGTTGGGTAAGTATAATACGTCAAGTAATATGCGTGGTTTACAACGTATAATACGTCCCTAGTTTTCTACGTAGGCACGAAGTATATTACCCCAAACTAAACGTGCAAAGCGCATGCGCAATATCGTCAATAGCCAATGAGAGTCCACCTATTTACCTCTAAGAGAGATTCTCATTGGCTATTAAGGGGATTGCACTTTACGCCTCCACAAATTCGCACACATTCGAAATTTGAAATGTATGCATATACGTGCATTTCACGTTTGTTTATAACGGCTGATAACGGGTATTTCAAGTCGTAAGATTCGTAACTAATATTTTATACCTTTATATCAAAGTGTATAAAGGTGGAAGATCAGAAAGTAAATTATGGGATGAAACAAATCGACAAGGTGGATGTTTATAACCTAGCGAATACCGCATGCCCTACGTCTGTCTTGTCCGCCATATTTGATACGTTTTCTCCTGGTTTTCTACGTTTTCTACGGTAAACTACTTAAAGTAGTATACGTCACAAACCTCGAAAATCGTGAAATTACCCAACCCTGCTGTTATGTATTTCTCTAGTTTGTCACATTATAGTACATTTATTATATTAAGGTTATTATGTCGTCATCTGTGTTGTTGACTCAGAACTAAATATCGTTCTTCCGTACCTACATAGTGAGCTTTTTACGCGTAAATGACACGAGCAATGCGAGTTTTCAAATTTTATTCATTCTTTTACTTCCAAATTCTTTTCAAGTGTTTTAATAGAGTTTTTTTTCAATATTTTTTAGTGGGAGTACAATCATTTTGACTGTGAGCAGATCCCTGATGCTTTTATCTCGACTCAGATTTGCCCCTAGTGATAATGTTAATGGTAATGGAATCTGCAATTTATTTCATTTTCTTGACACGAATATGATTTATTTAATGCTTGCATTATTTTGTAAACTACCTATCTTTCTCGAAAAGCAGTTTTTCACTTTGAAAAAGAAAAGTGCCTATTTAAGGAACTGGTAAATCATCTATCGCCGGTAATAGTAGGAAGATATGCAAAGTTGGGTTCACACGCAGTTTTCGATTATATTTGCTATTTACATTGTATATTAAGTAGTCATTGTCCGTCTCGAATGTGAGGATATGGATTCCATGACATAGTATGACGAACAACGATTACTTTTAATGGAAGAATGTACAAGAAGTCTTATAAAGAAGTACAATATTTTCGATGGTAGGTAAAGATGATTTGCCGGTAACTTTTCAGCGGACTTCTTTATCATCTTAGGTTCATAAACGTATGTTTAGTTTTCCGGATGCATGCCAGATGGTGCAACAATAACGTCTCTTGTTTTCAGGGTTTCCTAAAGAGGCAGCTATTAAATTAATTACGAAAGTTATTCTGTAAGTAATCCGAGGAAAAATTTCTACGGTTATCGGACTATTTCATTTGAATTGAGTTAAATAATTTATACTGTTTAGAATCTTGACTTAATGAATTTAAAGGAAAATTGAAATTTTATAGAAACATTAGTGCACATGGAAGTCGATTCACATGGTTCTTACAAAGCATACGTTGCCGTGTTCGGTATATGCTTCCAATAATAAAACAAGCTATAAAACGTATTTACTATTCTTGTAATCAGATAGTAACTTTATTTTCATAGTTTATGACCGTAATTTTCGCTCGCAGGTAGTAATTAGATAAGCCGATTAAACATAATAATTGTAGAAAAATACGGTTCAATATTATAATATAATAAACATGGACATACACATTGACTAAATATTAATCATATTGCAGCATTCATACATGTTACCTTATTTTGTTCATAATGTTAACTCGTATACACTGTATTAATAAGTGGTTTTATCAGTCTCTTGTATTTCGGTTACCTGATAAATTTTACCAAATGATACATGTTAAGTATATTCTTCATATAAGTACATGATACGAATAATTAGTTATTCGTTAAAAGCACCGCGCATCTTCAGAGCCGTAACAAAAATTCTAAGCATTCCGCAAACGAATTTTCTTTGCAATTATTTGTTTACATGCAAATCCTGACATGACAACACTACCGATGTGAATGCATACAGTTTTAAATAAATTTTCTAACGCACAATTGTTATTTCCCATAAAATATACGTAACCTACGTGCGCATCATAAAAATATAAAAATCTAACAGTTTCCTATAAATGTCACTAAATTCATGTACAAGAGAAATAGTTACTGTACTGCGAAGAAGTCAGTCTACCGAGGTCTTGACATGAGTACATACATACGTGTATTGACAAAGGTCTGTACAAAGTAGACGCATTCATATACTAAACAAGTTATCAAACCTTTGTTTGTCATTAAATTATTGTCTATTTTCTTTCAGTTTTCGAACAAACATTATCTTTTTTGTTATTTGGTCGACATGCGTATCTAATTTGTTGCCATCTGTTAACTTTAGCTTAATGATGTACTATATACTATACGTCTCGTCGCGCTGCAGGACTGACACCAATTTGAATGTTATAAAAGAAAAATTTATGAGTACTCTAATCAAGGTATGGCAAATCCGGCTTTCACAACTCGGCCTCTAAAACGCCGAGTTCGCATTTGACAATTCTATAACTTTGTAAAATAGGCAGTAAAGTAGCCTGTCAGAGGTCTATTGTAACGAAGTTACACATATTGACATATATTGACCTGCAACCTTGATACGCTTTTTGGTGTATAAATAAAAAAAAACCAAAAACTGTATCAATCGGTGTTTATAAAACGACTACTTAAGGTGTAACTCGGTCCTCGAGACTCTTCAATGCGTGATCCTCACTTTCAGTACGAAGTACAGGTTCCGTCTTATCTTATTGTTAGAGACATTGATGTCACATCGCAAATCTTTGAGTAAAATGATATAGTTACGGTCTCGCAGTTGTGGGGTATTTAGATAGTGTCTACAATCTTAAGATTAGACTCTTTCTAAATTTAATCTTTTCCTCATTTTTCACTTCAAGACCACTTTAATCGTACGTGGACGTCTATATTTTATAACCAAGTACATTCCACATTGGTTAAACTCGAAATACATACAATCCATTGTAATGAATCTGTATTTATCATAGAAACGTGAAATTCTATTAGGTTGTCCCATAAGTTCCTTCCGCATCGTGTATTCATGTCCTATGAAAAAAATGGAAGAAACTTACGGGACAACCTAATAGTCATAAATTAGTGCGCGTGTATTACCTTTAAGTATCCAAATATCAATATTCAATTTACAGAGGATTTGCCACATTTTGATTGGGCCAACGAGCCCATCTCGAGATATTCATACATTTTATTTCTGTGCAACCAGTGTCATTTGGTTAAAAAAAAAAAAGTTAACCTGTTACTCTTAATTCCTTCTCGAATGAAAAATCTCGGTTACGATAAAAAAGTGCATTTTACAAAATTCGTTTACGAAACGTTCGAAACCCTATTCACCTTGCAGGAATATCTTATTTTCCTGCCATACGTGTACGGATTTGATCCTTTACGAATGTTTGTCTCCTGTGACCGAATCAGTGTCTTCTTGGAAAATAATTTCATCTTCACAGGAGCCCCAGCGGTGTAGCTATGGTGGTGAAATTGGGATTGTTTCTTCATTGAGTACTCCAACGTATATATGGTCACCTAATCGCACCGTGCCATTGGGTCCTTTCAATCCCAAATGAATCCCCATCACCGGACTGTCTCCAGTATATCGGTGAATCTCGGGATCGGTTATTTGTCGATAACTAAAAATAAAAAGTGATTACATTGGCAACACGCCTCTTGAGATAATAACATAACAACAAATGCAATACACAGAATAGTATAAATGGAACTATTATAAATAATTCTTTCAATTCTCTGATCTGCGCTACTCCAGTTATTGGTTTACTTCGTTCAGCGGTAATTATTTATAAATAATAAAATATCAACTTAAGAAAAAATTCAAATGGAAGGTGAATAAATACTCTAAATTAAATATATTTAAATCTTTCATTTCCTTTAGACTACTTCATTTACACATTGAAACTAATTAAAAATAAAGGTTTAAAACAAACTAATCTGCACTGGAATAACTGTGACCCGGAATTACGCATACGTTTATACTGTTCCGTGGCGTGTATTTCGTACAAATTTGTTAAGCTTTCTACATATATTAGTGCAGGGTAAAATAAATCAGCTTTTAGGAAATTTGATGAATTATTCTCTAGGTAGAATATTTACCCTTTCAACGTTTTCAGCGGTTCCACCTTCGGATGTTTCTTCCCTGTCTCCGGATCCACTGTGGTAAAGATGCACCTAGTGCAAGGCTTTACATTCCGAAAAATCACTTGGCCTATCTTAACCCAATCCCAGGTGTCTTCCGAATAAGGTTCAGCTCCTTTCACGACGAAGTTAGGACGGAAATTCTGCGGAATGACTGGCTCTTCAAGACGTCCATTCAGGTCGGCGATCGAAGCTTCATTTATAAGTGAGTAACTTGTTGCGTCTGGATAAGCACCCTGGTGAAACCATTTACACGATATAAAACGATTGTTCCGATAATTAGTTTTATAATGGTTTAAAATCCGAACAAATTAATTCTCTTCGAATAAGTCAAATCGAAGTTGACAAAGACATACACGCGTAAATGAAACGTAAATAAGAATCTAGGATCTATACGCTAAATTCCCTTTCACAAAATTAACGTAAACTGACGAAGATCGCCAAATAAATAAATAAATTCTAGTTGCAAAATCTGCAGCATTTGTTAATTTCTACGAGAATTATTTCCAAAATGACGTCTCTACAGTGGAAAAGAGCACGTCCCTTAAACTAGCAGCACCACGTCAGCATAACCGCATAAATCAGGGGGTGGTTTTTGGACTCAAGGGGTGGAGCAGTAAAATTGTAAATTAAGCAATAAATAAGCAATAAATTTTTCCTACATTTTACACCACTTATTCTTTTTAATTTCACACAAAATGTCAGGTGGCACTGTCAGCTTAATGTTAAAACTCGCATAGCCACTGATTTTTTAAAAACGGCTAGAGCAATAAAATTCAAATTTGTGTAATAAATAAGGAATAAAAAAGCAATAAATTTTGGTGTATGATTTATGCGGTTATGACGTGGCGCTGATAGCTTTAGGGACGTGAAAAGAACTACCGGTCTTACCGTGTCAGCACTGACGGTCAGGGGAAATGGCTGATTTTTCGTTCGCACTTCACGAGATGATCGTTCCAGCGGATAGTTAACCAGCCTCAGACCGGTATCTTCTTGAAGAAGAAACCGGGACAGCCATCTCGCGACTTCCTCTCCGCAATCACAAGCAGCTACAGCTTGTCCCCAGACTGCAGCGCGAAAGCTCTTACCTCGAATTCTTGCAAGGTCAACAGAAATGGCCATCATCCCGGGAGCTCGAAGAGTTAATGTGGATCCAGAAACACTAGGTGAGACCTAACAGACAAAATTTAACAGTATTCAATTAAACATGTCCAACCGTATTGTCTTAATCGGAGCATTTCCCTTTCCAACCAAACAGCCTTAATTGCTAAACTGCCCAAACTCAACATTTGTTATTTCCTAACTCAATCATTCATATGTGCCCATAATTATGAAAATGGTCTAAGTCATATATTTTTTGTTTCGAAAGTATATTGAATTAATTTAGTTTAAAATAATGTGGCGTGAAATAACTGATAAACTCATTTTTTTTTTTAATTTTGACTTAGACCACTTTCATAATTATGGGCACATATATGATCTTAGATCACATAACGTCAACCAGGTCTTATGGCAATGTCCCTTTTACGATCACACTAGGAAGGACCTCATAAACAAATTATTGAAAGGCAAATATGGGCCACTTAATATTGAAACCTTTCTTACCGTTCATAGATAACAACCCCGTAAGACACATCTACCATTTTCTAAGGATAAATAATATTAAAATCTAAGTTCGTCACCCCTATAATTTATGTATTCTTCGGATTGTACTATAAACGTGATTATTGTCCAATGATAAATTAAGTATAGCGAATAAACCTGTATAGCTGGTTTCAAAGCCTAATAAAAAAAAAAACATAAGTGACATTCGACCTTAAAATTGCAAGGTGTTCGGTGATTTATAACGATTTTCAGTGATTTCTGCTTGCGATTTCTAGTTGATTTCCAGATATTTTCAAGCATCAAAATCCCCGGTTTCCTGAGTAAATACCCCTTCGATTTGTTAGTTTATAATTCGTACTACGATTACGACACTAATACTTCTCCTTCTTGCTTTTTGTATTATCATCATTCTGCGACGTGAACTCTTGTCATGTCTATGAAATCTTACAAAGTAAAAGAAGAATTATCTTCTGATAAGAACTTGTTATATGACGTCTTAAAAGTATGTTTATTTAATCATTAATTTTTATCTTTTGCAGTGTCCAAGTTTTACGAGACAACTGGGACGCGGTTTCCAAGGCGCTTCTCTAGTGACTAGGTAAACGTCCAACAAATAGAAATCAATGGACGCCTGGATTTCCTGAAGAAAGTTAGGTGTAACAACTAGGATGTACCGAACCGTTAAATGTGTCCGGGAAGAAGGAAATCAAGCGATGTGGATCTCCGTTCTGGAAGCGAAGTGGGTCGATCCCGGTTCATCTAACTAACCGTGAAACTAACAATAAGCCAGAAATAAGAAATCCCGAGATGGTCGTATCTAGTGCATCGATCGTTCTCTCGATCTTCGGGAGTTACGTATCGGATGCAAATCTTATGCAAATTAGATGCTAAACTAACGCAAACATTATCCGGTACATCGCAGCAATCCAAGTACATCCTAGTGATTCGCAAAATTATTCGGAAATTCTTCCTATTACCTACATGACTGTTACAGACGATCAATTTCAACGACTTTCAGAAAAACACAAGGAAACTTCGATATCACTACTTTACGATTTCGGTTGACGATATGTGGCTACTACCAGTATTGATAATGAATATACCAAATGATATGCTCTGACGAATTAAGATTCAATGATTTCCTTGAAATTTGATGAAAAGTATGCTTTTTTTATTGCCATACTAAATAAAAAAGGCACATACGCACAAGATACTTAACGAGGTTGGAATTGATTAGACATTCTGTACCCATTATATTTCGGAATTATATCAATATCGCTTACGTGAGGGATTACGGATAATTTATCTTCCTTTTAGTTTCATGACAATTTGAGGATATGTTACTAAATGCAGCGTAACACAATTCCTATTGTAGGTAAGAAGCTTCTACAATTTAATATCGAATTTACAAAAGTTCTAGGGCATTATCTTTTTTAATTCCAACTCTGAATTAATTATCGCGGATACTTGATATTCAGTGCATATTTTCCCACATAATTAGTGTTTATCGATTTCATCCATTGTATATAAGCGCTTCTTTTCCTTTACCTGAACCATGGCAGGCAGTTGTCTTCCGGTAACAAATTGACCATCGAGATCAATCACCATAAGCGTTCGATCTCTCAGCCATCCTGACTTCAACCCTAGTGTTGTGCATTCCATTTCTGTCATACGAATTGGACCTAGTGATTTAACTGGAAAGGTTATTAAGTCGCTAAGTTCTCCGACTTTTCTCCATTTTGATGGGGGTTGATCTCTTTTGTATTTTCTGGTCCACCACCACCATACAAAAATAACAGCCGTGCCAGTCCCCACGGCGGCAGCTGTAACATACGCCATTCTGCTTCTATCTGAAAATAAAACAAAAAAAACATTTAAAATTAATACCACAACTGTAAAGAAGTTTACCATTTTCACTTAAACTGTTTTATTAATCCTACTTGTTTATTACGTGTAATTTTTTTTATTTCAGTTTAGTTACGAAGCGTAACTATAGTGCCACTACATTTTCATGTATTCAAAGCGACAAATAAATATCGCACTCATATAAAATATTACCACTTCGTGGCCGAGCTATGTGTATATGCAGTACTCCTACCCTAGTAGCACAAAATATTTGTCCTATATTTTCTATATATTTAACGAATATCGTACATATTGTAAATATTTAACAGACATTTGAAATATTTGCAAAACGTTTACTTTAGAATATTATCCCTACAATATTTATATAATATTAGCTCCATGTGTTTTCATAATATCTTTCTACCAGATAGACAAAACATTTCGATTCATTTTAATACAAGTATTTTTTTAATATTATCTGCCGAATACATTATAAACGTTTTAAAAATATTTAAAATCAAAATCACACATTTTGCTCCCGTAATGAAACAGCGGAACGAAAATATTAGAAAAATTTCTCGTGTTTTTTCATACCAAATGAAGTGTCCGATAATAGTCGTGATGTAAAAGAAACGTATTTTTATTATATGTTCATAAATTAAAAAATATAATTTCTATATATGTAAATATGTCATTGAGATTTTCAACAAATATTTCAGATATCTTCGAATGAAATCTACAAGAAATCTTAAAAAATCTGTCGGTGGAGATATTTAGCAAAGATTAGAAATAAATATTTAGAAATTATTCTATGCTACCAGGGTAGAAGTTAGGTCTTATGATAAAGAGTTAAGGTTTTCTGGATTTTTTGCAGTATTTTGAGGTTTTTAAAATCTAGCAGTGATATAGCGAACAATTTATAAGGCAAACAATATTTACTCTTAACACGAGCACTTCGACGTACGTCTCGTCCCCTTACAACCGGAAAAAGAATTCTTACTGTTCATCCATCAAATTTGACGTTTATAGAGGATAATAATCTCCATAATAAAGTTTTAATCACTAATTAGCAGAATTTACAGCTAGTGATTAGAAAGTGTCGGATACAATCCGGAGTAAGATCAAATCAATCATCTTAAATGGCACTGACTTTTGATAATTAAGTAAGCTTTATGACTGCAACGAACCCTCATTACGTACATGCTGTTATGAGACTTTCATAATGTCTTCTTCTTTATAAAAATAAAATTGCCTTCTCGGAATTTAATAAGACCCGAAAATATTATACGTTATTATTGAAAACGTTAAACTATTTGTGATGACCAAACGAATGTTTAGCTCGACGAAACAAGGTCAGTAAGTTGGAAATTAAATGAAATAAGAGGCTTAAAAATGTTCAACGATCTTGATCGTTAAATCTTCGTTCCTGAACGGCGAACACGGGCCTCTAATTACAATATCGGTATTCAAAGATTCTTGGTCAACAGACCATAAAACCGTATTAATAATTTCCATAACAATACCCGGGTGAAATTCAAAACGAAGCCACGTAAACACTATTTCGAACTTCCATCAATTTAATGACGATTATAACAAGTTTTTTTCCTGTTATAGAAATCCTACAAAAGAATCTTTCTGTGAAAAATATTTAGCTATTGATACAATCTAGTAATTCCGTAACAGTTCGGGTATGTAACAATCGAAAAATTATGCAAATCCGCAAATGCAGAATTTTTCTATGAAAAATATTTAACTATTGATGCAATCTAGTAATTTCGTAACAGTTCGAATATGTAATGATTGAAACATAATGCAAATCTTCAAATGCAGAATTTTTCTACGAAAAATATTTAACTATTGATACAATCCAGTAATTTCGTAACAGTTCGGGTATGTAACAATCGAAAAATTATGCAAATCTACAGAAAACTATTTCCACAACGTTAGGTAGGAAACAGAGCACATATCCGTTAATTGTTAAATTCTTCGGATAATGAAGGAGACAAGGAGTGGCTCGATATTTTTGACTCGTTCTTCGTTTTCCTAATCACAGCCAGATTGTAATATTCATTAAGGAAATCGTGGATTTTAGCAGTTAACTGGCCTTATCAATGGAGAGGACGATACAAGTACGCAAGTCTGAAGAATACCGTCCGTAAGTTTGTTATTAAAAAATGTGCATCAGGTAGCCAACATTCGATTGCTTTGACCACTCGGTCAGAAAACGGGAAATCGGCGAAGAACGGGGCTAAATAACAACGATTAGATGTCGAGTAACGGTCGTGTACTGGTTTCCAAGTAATGGTCGCAGCCTTCCCGTAAGACAAGCCGTTTTAAAAAATTGTAACGCAATGGGCACCGATTAGGATGTCAAATGACCATGACATTGGATTCAGTACAGAATCTGGGTCCGTGTGCAATCTGTCAAGTAACGAGACGATTTCCCAACATACATATGCCGGACATTAAGGTGAAGTGAAACACGTCGAGGAACTTGATCGACGTCGATGAAGAAGATTTTTCTAAATGCCTACGTTGCCGACGTTCGTTTTTATATCGACAGCTGTGTCGAATTATATTGGGTATTGTACCAAATGGCATACTTCACCTGTCGTTTTTGTACAATAATTATAAAGAAATCGAAGTAAAACTCCAGAAATCCTCTGGATTATGCTTTCTGGGGCCCTAATTGACTGCAGAGGGACCCCCTGCGCCATCTGTGATTTCCAGGTCAATTAAATTTTCACTCCGAGACCTCGCATTACCATCGTTTTAGCATAGAAGCGCATACAACACTTTTTTGCCTTTATCCCGTTCAAATGCGAGTTTATCGACTACCAGAGTGTTCTAAATTGTCGTAAAATTGTCCTGACCCTTTCGATTCTCATATCAGAGCCTTTCTATAATTGTATATTGATCGAAATATGAGAGCTCGACGCCATTTTGGTTCTGGTGTGGACTGAAAAATCCAAATTTTTCAATGTGTCAGGCCAATTCTTAGATGACCACGAGTCACGTGTCAAACTTTCGGACAGTTTGGTCGAATATCTTTAAAAAAAAAGTGTTGTATTCGAATCGACTGATTTGAAGGGGGTTTCACTTCACCTTAACTCTATGCGCTACCTTATTGCAGGACGAGGTGCGACGTTAACTGCGTTAATGGACGGTAATGGTTGTTAATGTGCACTCTATTCCTCTGTAACAGTTACAGGTAGATGAACTGCCTGAACTAGAGAGCTTGTCCGGGAAATCTAGTCGGAAATAGAAAAGAGTCTGTGTCTTTTACCTATACGCCTTTTTCGCAAATTTTAAACATTAACTGATTTCTGTACATTGGTAAATTGACTTTCGATCTTAGACATTGTGTCTTAAATTACCATGGTAATGGAAAATATAAAAAATATTCAGCAGTTTCTTATTAAATACTCACGTTCGAATGTCATGATGCTTCATTATTAAAGGAAAAATTTATGTACGTTTTGGAAATATTTCAAATGTCTGCTAAATATTTACAAAATGTACGATAATCGTTAAATATATAGAAAATATAGGACAAATATTTTGTGATACTAGCGTTGTACTCCAAGTAATTTGGCTATACGCAGGTAGTCAACTCCAAGACTTGGCCTTAGGAGTACAAAGGGTTAATCATTAAACTAAGTCTGAGTTTCGCGCCTGTATATATATTTGGCGCGAAACTCTACCGAGTTCCTTAATTTCAGGTAGCAGGTGTAGCAGCGATCCACGTGAGCGAATCACGAGGTATTCGTTCATACCGGCACTTACGGTCCTAAGCAGATAGCATTTGGGACACTTTTGAAAACCCGAAATACATACCCATGGGTGTAGCAGGCCTGGGTCGGCGACCAGCAGTCCCGTAGAAGAATTTTGCGCACCCGTGTAGATTTGACACGGATATACAATTCTTGCGAAGGACCGCGTGGATCGCACGAGAGCTTCGATGGACTGCTCGCAGCGATCCGCGAGAAACTGAGGAGTCGACCGGTCGGCGGACAAGCCGCGCTTCCATCTCCTCCCGTTTTACACAGTTAGGTCCTATTCCCCTATCTACACTACGTTCTACTACGCTTCTCTCGTCATAGTAACTGGTAACCTCGTGCCGGCCTCGCCGTACACGCGTGTTTTGAAGCTGTTCCATTTTTTTATTTCCATTTGAAGAGTACTCTCCTGGTCTCAGTTGGAAAACGTCATTCATTCCGCTAAACGTTCGCTAACCGCCGCGCCCGGAAAGGCGTGGAACCATTAGAATATATTAATTTTTTTGTCCTCCCACGAGTTGGTTTACCGACAGAGCCATTACGCACCGAATGATCACGTTTTGTCCTTCATCGTTCCATCTGCTCGGAAATTATACATTAAGTGCATCTCGCGCATGGATTACTCAAAGATACGTACCCATGATGGTCGGGGGTCATCGACCAGTGGCAGCGTCCTCGAAGGTCGGCGCACCTATACGGACCTCGGTACTTGGCTTACGATCTTCCCTCTCGAACAATTTCGGACAAGAACTGTTCTGTGAAGCGTTCCACGGTGAACTGAGGACCATGCGCAGTCGCCGTTGTAACGCACGCGCCCGTCTCCCTTCGAAGCACCGTTAAAAATTCACGTTTAACTTTACCGCACCTCTCTATATTCATTGTAGTAACGTCATGCTGGATGCCTTCCGAGCACGTGCAGTACATACCAGCTCGTACTCTGAGTCTGGCTGGTAGTTTCTTTCATGGGTGTCCACGCACATGCGCTTTCGGTACACCGCGAGACGTCGGACTGGAGAGGCTGTTTCGCGTCCCAAAGGGGTGCCTTCCTTCCCTAGACGACCATCTGTACAGGGTGTTTCATATCGACCATATCTCACTGAACACCAAACCTAATAGTTACGTAACTTAAAACTAACAAATAACATAACGTTTGTTACGATGTAATAACTTAACAGTTACGTAACATAGAGCTAACAGGTGACCTAACATTTGTTACTATCATATCTATATAAATGTAGCGTAACTTTGTTACTCCTATCTTACATTATGTTACTATCCTGATATTACAGTGTATATGCAGCACATATTTGTAACAAAACAGAACTACGTCGGTGCTGTCATCTATTTTATTACATCATCGTCATCGTCATTGTCATAATTCATCATCAAATGTCATAAGATTAATATATGTCATATTTTGTTTCCTACTCGTATGAAGAAAATGTGATTTTAATTCATACGCGCATATACATTATCAGTAATTGTTTGATAGTCGCATGAAATCATAATAGTCTTTAAGGCGCAGACGTGAACCATTTGTTATTGGGTTTTCGGATAAGTCCGTTCCCTTTTGTAAAATTTTTTTAAAAGTTTACCCGAAAAATAATAAAGAACAAATTAATCAATTATGCAATCTTCGTTATTATTTACAACTTCGTCCCATCGTTCGACAAGTTTTTCGATGCCTCTGCGTTAGAAATCTCCCGACCTTCATTCGAAGAATGACCATTTTTGAATCTTGCAAACCACTTCTGAGCCGTTCTTACAACTATGGCATCAGTTCCGTAAACATTTAGAGGGATCCCCTGCGCCATCTGTGATTTCCATGTCAACTAAATTTTCACTCAGAGACCTCGCATTACCATCGTTTTAGCATATAAGCGCATAAGACACTTTCTTTGCATTTATCCCGTTCAAATTCGAGTTTCTCGATTACTAGAGCGTTCTAAATTGTTGTACAATTGCCCTGACACTTTGGTTTTTCATATCAGAACCTTCAATTATTGTATATTGATCGAAATGTGAAAGAAAGTTCGGCGCCAATTTGGTTCTGGTCTAGGCTGTTAAAATTCGTTTTGAAATTCCAAATTTTTAAAGTGTCAGCATAATTCATAGGTGTTCTCTAATCATGTGTCAAAGTTTCCAATACCCTTAAAAATAGTGTCTTATTCGAATCGACTAATTTGAGGAGGATTTCACTTCACCTTAAAAAATAGAGAAGCAAGTGAAATCGCCAATGCACCTTAAATAGTTAAAAAAACGCCTGTTCATGGCTTCGACCATTCATTTGTCATGTAACTCATTTTTTTATATTAATATAAAACCTACATAATCCCTCTTTTTGCAGTTTAGAAACTAAGATCAGCGTGGGTACTTGAATTCAGTGCAGCACGTGGCATTCGTTTTATTTCTTGCTCAATTTTTACTCTCTATTAAATCATATTTTATCATACACTGTATGTCAGCAAGAGTCAAAGGTTTTGATCCTCTCAAGTGCGTAATGTAAACATTTCGCAAGCAAATCGTCAGTAACAGCAGAATATTTAATACAGTTCAACGAAAGAACGTTTTTTTAAAAAGGCAACTCGAAGGAATACGATTATAACTTTTATCACTAGTGAATGAATTTCATCTTTTCAAATACTTCAACTTTCGTATTTATAAATATTACGCACGCAACTCCATATATAGCTTAATCCGATGCCAATTATGAATTTTAAACTATTCTATAGCAATAGAAATAATACTACTCACGATAAATTACAAAATACGTGCGTTCTTCAGGAGAGATAAAGTAAATGTAAAAGAAAAGAAGTTCTGATTGCTAACTACATTACAAAATATCTGTACTCAAGACTTAACGATTTTCTAAATCGTAATGGTTTTTTTTTATGTAAATTAATACTGCATTACTTAATATTTAAAAAAGATATTTTTAATAAATCTTTTTATTATAGAATACATTTAAAGAATAAAGCCTATACTTTATATGCTGTATCAAAAGTTTTTTTTTACAATATTCATCGATACTGATCATTAGGAGACTGTTGTACTAGTCTTTCAACATAAGTCAGATTTTTTATATGTACCGTGTACGGTTGTTTCACCATTTACTAAATGTACATTTTTGGAAATGATACATTAAGTAATTTAAAATTAGTTCTTATGTACTGTCGACAGCATTCTCGACTTTAAATCAACTCGAAATATTGCGTTCAATTTTTAGTTAAATTGTAGCTAATTTACAATAAGCTACAAAGTAAATTGATTACAATATAACAAGTTCTCTCACTGCTTCAAAAACTACGACTTTTTCTTTGCATTAATTTTCCACGCTCCAATTTGATATCTCAACCATATTAAACCCAAATCCCGGCCCATTTGTACCCAGCTCCAGAAAGGAACAAGTTTTGATCCTTCAATTTCTGTCCAATTTACAGCTATTTCGGATATGGGCATTTTTAAAGTTTGAGCTATATACAATAATTCAACGTCAAAAGCCCAACGTTCTATGTGTAAGGCTCGAAATAATATTCTAGCAGATTCGCGAGTTAGAAGCTTAAATCCACACTGTGTATCTCGCACATTCTTCACGCATAAGAGCCAGACTAGAAAATGAAATCCATGCATCAATATTAATCGAAATACACTTCGATTGGCTGTTGCCTCTTTTTCTAAATGCGCCCGAGACCCGCATACAACAGCTCGCATACTTGCAACCTTATCTGGCTCTACCTTATAATCACCTGAAATGAAATAATACCTTTCTTCAAATATGAACGACGTAACAATTAGAAAGTAAAATATCACTTACAATGTAGCATTTCACTTATACTCTCTTCCAATTTCTCCAAATCTTCAAATTTAGTAGCACCATCGGCATCCGCAAATAGTAGTAAGCTACCTCTTGCACATTCAATACCCTACATGAAAAAGTGAAAAGTATATTTAAAAAATTGTTCATAATATGGAAAATTGTATTGAATGTATAAACTCACAAGTCTCACTGCGCCACCTTTTCCTCTATTCTTCTTTAAAATTAATATCCTAATTGTATCATGTTTATCGGCATAATTTTGTGCTACTAAAGCTGTACCATCTGTACTTCCATCACTAACTATAATTATTTCATACGTAAATCCAGACTTTCTTCGAGGTTCTAAGTACTCTAAACATTCGTCCAACATCGGAGGTACTAAAGGATGCATATAAATGATCAGTGTTTGATAAATAATTAATTAAACTGATAAATAATTCCTTAATTAACCTACATCGTTCCTCTTCATTATAGGCTGGTACAATAATACTAAGGTGTACACTCCAATCTTCATCAAGGGAAGGAAACCTTTCCTTTTGACCAGTTTGAGAATTAAAAAATAATATCTCTTCGTCGGACCTCCGTATCTCAGGATATGGTTCAGTCGTTAGATATAATACTAAACAAAACTGTAACAAACATTTAAAAACATTATAGAAACTTGTACATTAAATGTACTGCAAATGTACACGATGACTATGTGTCAATATTAATTTAAACTATCACAAAATCAATTTTTATACTGATCTTTTTCAAAACTACGTAAATGTGAAATGCATCAGATTGACCGTAAGTTTATAAACAAAGTTATATACCACAATCTTTCATATATGTGAGGAACAGAAATAATCCATGGTATGGCATGGGTCATCTGTTTTTAATAACTAAGTATTCCTGGTCATTTTCTTAGACATATCTGCTACAAGTTATCCAGCATGCATTACACAAAGCATACATTTCTTACTGCATACAAGAACGGAAACATTGACTTATATATATTCACACACAATTAAACAAAACGGATTTACATGATATTTCATTAAATTCTTCCTTTTATGCAGTAACTTACGATCGTTTGATACATAATATAAAATAATTTCCTCAGACTTGTTTTTACTTGGAACAAAAATAATTATAATTGTAACATAACCTAACCGTAATGTCATACGTACCAGACTAATGAGAATAACGAGGATTAAAATAATGTAAATGATGGAAATTCCAGATATAAACATGCTGATGGCGAAGAGATGTTAAGAGGTTCAAAATAAGTTATAAAAATGAAGTATAATCAAAACTAAGTGGCCACGTATTCCACTTGTTGTGTGGACTTTCATGGAGACGCATGGGACCTCGAAGCGGTTTGCTGATATGGCTGGACGCCGCTTATCATTCTACTGTGTATAATGCATGTATGTACATACATGTATGCAAAAATGATGCACTCGCTTATCAGAAAATATGCATATCCATTATCAATGGAAATTATAGTACTGTTTTTAAAAAATGCAGTTTGAAAGAATTTATTAAAACTCCTTTACCACCAAAGTTGTATTTTCTTTTAATTTGGCTTTTATGTGCCTCATAGTATATAACTGACGCTCAACTGGTTTAAAAAACTCGCGTGTTTTCCAGCTTCAAACTTGTCAAATGATAGAATCCTACGTACCTTGAATCAGGATTTTGACGCTCACATCAATTAGATAACATTAGTAACTTTTGCAATTGAAAATATTATTTCCTATGTATTTTTCAATGTTTTAATAAATTTAGATAATAAAAGACAATATAGAGAACATTTATAATATTATTTTCCGTTAATTAACAAAGGTAAGATGCCTATTAAAGAGGATGATCCAAATTACAGATCGAGAATCACTGAATGTTTTCCAGAAAGTGAACCGATTAAAGGTAATATAATATTGCGAAGAAAGAATCTTTTACTTAAAATTGACGTATGCTGTTTCAGTGGAAAAAACATGTGAGACAGATCATGAGTACTCAGAAGATACATCCAATGAGGTGAAAAATATTATTTCCAATGACAATGTTAATAATCAAAATAAGCTAAAGCTGGATGAAGTCAGTAAAGTTACAGATGATGATGACCCATGTAAAAAAGCAAGAGATGAGAAAAAGGGTCCAACAACTTTTACTACGGCAGGTCGAGATCCAAGGTATGTAAATCCTATCATAATCTTAATTTCCTCAATAAAGTATAAAATTTCCTCTTTAAGTATAAAATTAATATTGCTTAGATTTCAACAGCAAAATCAAACATTACGGTGCTTCGTAATGTATACAGACTTTCATCGCTGTGAACATCTACTTGGTACTGGCCACGAAGCATGTACATGGTTTAAGCAAGTATTTACGTCAATATGCCCAATATCATGGGTTGAAAGGTGGGATTGGTATAGAAGCGAAGGTCGCATGCCCTGGTCGAGAGCTCGAGAACAAGGAAAGTTTCCTGGTAATCGTTACGGTGACTAGGACACTAATAAATTTTTTATAACATTTCCTGAAATTCAACTTTAAATATTCTGTAAATTTGAGTCTTTAATAATTATCATACACGTGCCAGAATATTAGAATATAATGTTATACACTTCTTTGATTAAGACTTACTAACAATGAAAGGGTTGTATATTTTAATGAATAACATTGACAACAGATTAGTAAAATAAATGATATTCATTGTTCATTTTCCATGTCTTCCATAAGAGATTTAAGGAAAGAATTTCCATTGATTAATTTTGTTGTTCCTATGACGAATTCGACGTTTACTGTAAGAGACATACAATTTAATTGAAAAATTATTTGAAAAAATGTTAATACCTAGCACTGAAGTTACGGTATACGTACAATCATCCTGCTGAGAGAGAAATCGAAGTGCCGAGATTTCTGCACATGTACAGCCGCCGATAAAGAATACTAGTACTAGTTTAGGAGATTCAGAAATTGATTCTTCGCTGGTAATTGAATTTCCTGTTAAAGTACAGCATTTAGATCTCATGTAGGTGAGCTTGTTTTCCACAAACAATGCATGCCAAGTTATTTACATACGTCTTGTCAATGTTGAAGTTGTATTAGTTGAGGAACTATTAACAGTAGGTCCTGGTAGCAACCCAAAGACGTCGTTAAGTCCTTGCCAACCACCTGGTTGAGTAAGTTGTTCTGCCAATCTGACGCTTAATGGCGCATATATCGAATGTACGTAACTGATATCTTTCGGTGCTATCTCACTTTCATCTTCAACCGTAAGTCTTAAAGCTTTCCTTAAAACAGCATATTGTCTAACAGACTGTTGCGTTTTTAGGAGACCAGCTTTCTCTAAATTCAATATATTTGGAAGATGCTGATAACCATATGTTTGTATAATTTCTCTTGTATAATAGTCTAATAATTTCGGTTTTAGACCAGAATTGGTCAAGGACTGAATACAAAGTAAACGAAGGACTTTTAGAAGAGGTTGCTGTTGTGCTATGCAGTCTTCAATGAATGGATTGGGTTTATCAGTATCAATGCAATTTAATAATTCCTGTTCAACTTGCAGTGATTCAAGAAAATTACTAGAATCGGTCACTTCTTTTACCATTTCTGCAATTGTAGTATCTAGTAAAGGAGAATATAACAATTATTGAAAGTCTATTTCACAGTCATATATATTGAATGAAAATGTATTTATTGATATGAAATTCTCCAAAGACTTACGCCTTGCCAAAGACTGTTTCATTGCTAACATATGTGGTAACTTTGCAACAAATTGCTTGATTTCTTGGACACTTTTGTCACCATGCCTTTCATCAAATTGTAATGATATTTCCTTAGCTTTGCTGCTAAGTACCCGTCCTACGCCATTGAAGTTTTTATCTCTGATTTCAGTAAATAATTCTTCCCCTGAATTTAGAATTATTTGTTCCTTCTTATCAAGGGACATTACTGTTGGAGAATCATCAGAATCATGAAACTTTTGGGCAGGTAATTGTACAGTGTCTGCAACATATTTTTAAGCTGTCGTAAAATTATTTTAGTACTTTGAGTGATTCTANGAAGCAGAGATGAGTTGGGAGATTGCTCACGGGCAGGGTCGCGCGACGATCGTGTGCTGCCCTCTGGTTTCGTACGTTAGCTTTCACCGTTTTTTACCCCCAAGGGCGGCATCACCGTCAACTGCCGCATGGTATTACCATCACGAATACGTGAGCCGCCAACGGCAACTGGTAGATGGCACAGCCATCGCGAGTGCGCGAGCCCCTACCAGAAATTCGTTGCGCCGCCCTTGGGGGAAAAAAACGGTGAAACCTAACGTACGAAACCAGAGGGCAGCACACGATGCGATCGCGCGACCCTGCCCGTGAATGAACAATCTCCCAACTCATCTCTGGTTTCACAAGTCAGGTTGCGAAAAGGCGGGAAAGTGTTCGTACTTGTTTACGAATATTTTTGTATTCCTGTTATGAACTTTTCTTGTTTTAATATTGAATAATGTGTACATTGAATTGTAAAGTTTGAGCCGTGGTAACATTCGAAATAAGATGACAACTGAGGAAGGGCTACAGCACTGTTTAACAGTTTTAAGAAAGGCAAAAGGTAAAAGATGTGCTTTATGATTAGCTCATTTTTTGTATTAGTCTTAGATACTTTCTAAGGTATTACGACGATAATATTACTTATTGAACAGTGGAAAGTAGAACTATGAGTCTAGAGATGTAAGACGTTTTTGTTTTGATACTTTAGATATAACATACGATTAGTGGATATTTATTATAATATGTAATGTTATACCATATTGAAAATCTGATTTTGAGACTACTTTATTTCTGGGTGCGTTGTTATATTTTTCGTATTTATTCCATTTTTAGAGAAAAGAAGTGTAAAATCTCTTGGGCTTGACGTAGTAATTACTATTTTACAAGAAGAAGCTTCAAGAAGAGGCTTGGCACCTCCAGTTATTGAAATATTAGTGGACGTTATAACGTCTCTCGATATAAGTAAGCTACATGAAATGGGTTTTATTACATTTGATAATTTTATTACTTACATTAAATCATTCTTAATGCCACATAAACATGCTATTAATGATAATGATACATTTTTTAGGGGTTTCATTACGTGCCACTTTAATAAAATGCTTAATTCCGATACATACCATACCTAACAAAAGCTTAGAGAACATGATTACGTGGTGTATATCATCGATCAATGAATTATCAGTGACGGTATCTATAGCTGCACTTCAATGGATCCTAGGTATTAATGCATAATATGTTTTACAGATGCATTATATTGATAAATTAATCATTACACATTTGGAAAACTGAACTTTAAATATATATATATATTTACTGTTATTTATTCCAAATATTTCATCTATCAAGCCTTCATAGGTTAATTGTGTAACTAAAGGTGACAACAGATCCACAGATCGATCCAATAACAATAAATGTTCGATCACAGGGGTTGTTAAATTGTCCACTTTAACGTCTTCTTCTTCTCGGCTCAATCTCTTCAATAATTCCCACACTTTACTTGCAGCAGGACCTCTTCCAGTTACTTTTGGGATTTTTCCGTATAATCGTTGCAAACTTTGTATAGCCTGAGCTACTTGATATAAGCAAGTTGGATCTCCTTCTAAATTCAATTCCTTAAAGGCACTACTTAATTCCATCGACAGTAAATCACTGTCAAATGGAAATAGATCGCATGCAAACTCCTCTATAACTACGAAGCTGCCATAAACTCCACGGTTTTGCAACTTCTTTTCGCAAAGTAGAGTTTTTCGAGGTACAAAGAACAAGCGAAATTCCTTACGCGATCTGCTTCCTTCTCTGTAAATGTATTTAATGTATTACAAATATGTTTATTTAATGAGACAATACTGGCTACGTACCCATGAATATTCTCGGCTATTAAATCCATAAGGTCTAAGTGAGGTCTGGTAATGAATATAATATTGTTAACATTTGTTGGGGGTAATTGACCACCTTGAAGTGGATACATTTTTTCAAGTCCATGTTCCTGCAGTAAACTGTACGTTGCAACAAGACCAATAGGTCCTGCAAGAGATTGATCCCAAATGATGGTCTATTAGAAAAAGTAAGGAACATTGCAAATTTACTTGCAAAACCTCTGTACAGTTTGGTTAATTTCAACATAAATTAGGTAAATATCGGCACATTTGAAAGATAAACTTTTTCAATTAATTTTTATGTAATTTCATGCACAAAATTTAAAAGGCGAAGAAATGTTGCTACAAATGATAAGTCATTGAAATTTACAGTACATACACAAACATATAATTTGGGTATTGCATTTGACACCAAGCTTGATGAGCTGGATATTAAATCGAAAAAATTCACAGATGAACAACATTAAAGGCTGAAGTCACCAATTTTAATTCACCTCCCACTGATTTGATAACTTGCAGTACCTTGAATCTCATATTACCTCTTATGATGGAAGTTAGTGAGTAAATTCAGTGAATAAGTTTTAAATTTAGTTAAAAATCTTATCAGTTTAATGCAATGTAGTAAAGGCTTTAAGAAGTGGTGAAAAAATTACTTTTCAACCCAACCACATTTAGTTCAATCCCAAGATTAAAGTAACCATTAATTAAATGTACCTTCTTTCCGTCACATTTTTCAAGTAAATCCAACAATTGTTTCCTCGCTTGTTCTTGAATCAATCCAATGTTTACTCTACCACCTGACAAGTGAGCAGACGCCATAATTGTGATCAATGAGTATTAGAGAGAATGGAAGCAGAGATGAGTTGGGAGATTGCTCACGGGCAGGGTCGCGCGACGATCGTGTGCTGCCCTCTGGTTTCGTACGTTAGCTTTCACCGTTTTTTACCCCCAAGGGCGGCATCACCGTCAACTGCCGCATGGTATTACCATCACGAATACGTGAGCCGCCAACGGCAACTGGTAGATGGCACAGCCATCGCGNTTGCAGGTATATGGAATTATCAACTTGCTGACAGAGTTATTATTAATAGTTTTTACGATGTTTTCTTTTATTGTATGTTAAAAAAGGATAAATTGGTATGTTTTTTGCAAATCTCATGATTTCAATTTTTCATATATGAACAATTTGTATGATGTATCTTGTTTTAATATCATTTTCATTCATTTAGGAGTCTCACTTTGCTAGATTAATTTATGCCTTAACGAAACCTGAAGATGTTACACGAAGGCAGGTTTCTAGATTACTTGCACTTCAGCATCGGTATGCAAAACCACAAAAACATATCACAGCATTACTGTCGTATGTAACACTAATTTGACAATAAATTTAATTTATGGGAAGTTAAGCTTTTCATTAACCAGAGGTTTATTTTAGGCAATTTAAATCTTATAAACCTGAATTAGTTCCCGAGAGAATCCCATCTTTGTCTACAGAAAGTGCCTGGAAACCAATACCAGAATTTCTGCGGTGTGGTTTAGAAGAAGCAAGAAATCGCCTAGACAGCCAGAATATTGAAGAAAATGTTGATGAATACGTGAATTGGAACATAGTACAAGTAAGGCAGTTGTGAATCTGTATTTCTATTCTTTTTAACTACATAAGTTTTATTTTCTTTTTATAGTTGACTAAACGAAGAAAGAATCAAGAACCACTAATTCCATCTGTAGGTTACTTCCATATCGGTTCCAGTCTTTTTAGAGAAAAAGACTCTAAATCAATTTTTGATGTAACAAGGTATTGTACCAATGACATATTTTCAACATTTGAAAAATTTAAATTACTAATATTCAAATATCGATTGTAGTTTGGAAAACTTAGGAAAATATCAGTTGTCAATAGATTTACCTCATAATGCAACATCTCTTCTTGCCAATACGGCTGGCTACCATCTTCTAACATTTGCTAACTGTGATTATCAAAGTAGATTTTCATACAATCTCTACAATACACTTAAAAGAGGTAGGTATTGTACTAATTTAACAAAACGTGATCGCACATATAAGTATTCGCGTGTAATTAATGAATGAATGTCAAATTATGTTTTGAAGAACTTTTAATGTAATATTTTTTCAACATAGCTTTTATGCTTGAGAGCAATAAATTTTCCGAAGCAGAAAGAGATAAATTATTGGAGATGACAGCTGAATTTTCTAGGTACATGCAACAAGGAATTCTTGTAGTAAATCAATTTTTAAACGATTACTTGTATTACTGTCCTGGTCAGCATCGTTCAAGGATTTTTGCCTTGTTACATTGGAATACTTTTGGATCTGTTTTTGGTATGTAGTAATTTAAGTTTATTCAGTTCACAATCAATTAAATGTGTTATTTCACTTTTAATACTTCTTAGCCTCTTAAATAAGAATTACAGGAAATGATGCCTCATCTTCAAGCAATGTTTCATGCATCCTCAGTAAAGGAAAAATGTGAAATAATAAAAAGTTTTAGATTACTCTTAGTTAATATGGTTGGTATATAATCAACAAGTATATTTTTATTGCCATTTTCTTATACAATTATTTATTTATCAATATGTTTTAGTAGTTTGTGAACCAACGTTTTGGTGATAGTGAACAAAACCAATCTGCACCTTTTCTGGGAAAGAGTGTAGTTAGCGATCTAACAGAAATAGTACCAATTCTTACAAAAATGGCCAAGGATCTTATAATTTCTGGTCTATGTGCACATTCATTCAATGTACTAATTTTGTCCGAAGCTCTGACGTTCTATGAGGAGGTATTTATAATATAAATTAGTATTTTGTAAAAAGTTTCCCATAAAAACTGCATGTCTATTGTCTTTAAAAGTAATATCAAAATATTAAGGCCTCCCTTTGAAGCAATGTTTATATTAAACATTTTTTTGTGTTTCCAATTTTAATTGAGTTATTAATAAATTATGTGCTGCACGCTGTACACGATGTTACACAGTTAAGAAGTGGATAAAGTATTTTTCTAAACAGTCCGTCTCCAAGTTTGTTTATTCATATTTGGTGTGCATTGCATGTAACATAAAATATATCAACTCCATGCACTCTGTGCAATCAAGTAACTGCATACATGTTTGAATAACATATGAAATTCTTTTCTTGTTGGTATTTAACAGATTTACAGATTAGAAACTAAAAGCCATTTAGCGTTATGGACATTAGCACCACCAGCAGTCATTTATGGAGGATTTATAACCAAAAGTTGCTGCATTTTGTCAAGGGTGTGTGCACTCTTGATGAGGTACGAATACTTTTGCATTTTCATCATAAGCAAATATTTTATATATAAAATGAAAGTATGTTTTAGATACCGTGAAATGAATGAACGTATGAAACAATGGAAAGCAAGGAAGTTATTTCAGAAAGAAATTGAATCTTTGCACATGTACGGCCGGGATTTAATAAACGCATTGTTGCAAAATGAGGTATGTGAAGATAATATTGTTCTTTAACACATTAAACGTCACGTAGGTTGCATGATATCGACACTTAACATTTTATTCGTTGATTCCGTATAATCGGAATAGCGTCAAGGATTCCATATGAAAATAATTATACTCCGCGTTTAATGTGTTAATAATATCAATATCACTTAGTTATACCATTCATTTTCAGGCATTTACTTCCAGAAGGGGTGGATATTTTCTAAAAAATATCCCAGATAACATAACCGAAGATATTTCAGTCCATGTTTTAGATAGACAATTTAGTATTAATTATCATTATGCAGTGATTCCATATAATTTTATATTAGGTAAATCGGGGTTGCCAATAAGTACCACTGAGGTAATTTTCTATCAACGTATCTTACATATTTGTAATTATTGCAAGATTATGATTTTAATATCCTAATCAGTTGTATAAATCGGATAAAGCAAATTTATTTACTTTTCAGGATTATCTAAATGTGGCTGGTCATTATTATCCGGCAATTAGTGAGTTACTAACAGCTGTTCTTGAATCTGCAGAATCAAGTGATGAGGAAATATAAATTAGTATAGAACAGTTTTGAATGGTATATCTCATTTTAATTTGTTTTATGACCGATAATTTAAAGTTTATAATTAATGTAAAAAGTGTATTTTGAATTTGTTATAAATGTATAAAATATCCTAAAAGATAAGGTTAGTGCTTAATTCCTAGATATGAAGATAAACTATGCCATAATGATGTATAATTCCTATTTTGAAATTCAAATGACATATTTAACGATATTATTCTTACAGAAATGTATTTAGCCAAATGCATGTATACATCTAAATACGAAATAGTAATTCCGTGATTTATTTTATTTATTTGCTTCAATTTACATTCCATTTAACAGTCTTGCATACGTATCTTTCACCTGAATTACGTCTCAATCTTAAATTCACATAGAGACTTCATCAAATTGCGCTGTTTATTAATGTACATTGATCGATTGGTATGCTCTTTGAGTATATCAACTAAATTCCTAAGTTTCTACTGTATTTAGGTAACGTACAATTAACTTCTTGCCGTGATATCATTGATATTAATTATTACATTAATAATTAATACACAAAATGTATTCATCCGAAATAACTATTTCTCTGGACATTACGAATGTTTATTTTGCAGCACAAATAATTTAATTTCTTTTTTTTTTTCTTAGTTTCATTCAGGTGATAGCGATTATTGTACTGTACTAAACTGTGCGAAATCCAAAGATTTCATTTCAGAAAATTACTATTATTTTCAATGAGTTACATCCTATAAGTCAAAAGGTTATAACAAGTAACAAACGGTGTAATTTTAACATCTCTGGATGTTCTATTTTACTGTAATGTTTCTCTTGCTCTGTAATTTTAAATAGGTTTCCTAATGATGGGATATAAACAGCTTGAATATTAATAACAGGATGAAAATAAATAAACCTGTGAAATTTCAGCAATACTTTTTCTTGTATATCTATAAGAATTACTATTCACATTTTTTTTTTGTCAAGTGGTAATGTACGTTTAGTTAAACGTACTGTCTGATTAATTGGAAATTAACGTAACATTTTACTTAACTGTAAATTAGAAACAATTATTATGGAACACCTACTGAAATAGAAATTTACAACCATATGTATGTATTACTACATATGGTTTTATTATAAAAATCGAGCCAAGATAATTTATACAGATGTCTGCAAGGCAGTGATTTTAGCTTAAATTATAAAACGTTTTTCTGCTCAATAACGAAAATCATGAATACAAAAATGGAGTAATAGGTATGATTGCTTTCTCGGTCTTGCTACGTTTGAGAATAAGTTCTTATTATTTCTTTTTCCTCACGTTCGTCCGTAAAAAATACGTAGCCAGTATATAGTGGTATAAAGTGCGATAATGAATAGCACAGTATTGAACCTAAGTATCGGCTTCCTTAATATAAACTCATTTTTTTTTATTTATAGAAATATGTGATTTACTTTATGTTTTGTAAGATACCAACTCAACAGTATATGTTCTAAGATCACATCGACCCAAGAGTTTTTTTGTATAATTAATAAAATAATGTATAATGAAGATCGTGATAGTTTGAAAAGTATTGTACATGTTTTTGAAGAATTGCATAATATCGATAATATTACTTCGTACGTACATATTGAAGAAAACATTACTGTTAAAATATATTCAGTCATTACTTGTAGTTTACAATTGTTTTTTTATGTACCGTGAAACTTTAAGACTTTTAAGAAATATAAAATACGACAATGACTTTCTCACTTGCTAACGAGGATGTAAACAATTTAAACCTCATGTTAATATTCGCACTTTAGCTTTTAGAGACAGAAATTTATTCGTTACTCATTTGATCGCAATCTGTATATCTAAAGATTCTATGATAAAGTATTGAATCTAATGATAAAGTAAATGGTAAAATATTAGTAAAATATAGTAACTTTTATGATACTAAAGTGTACTTAGTATTCCTGTCGTGAATAAACTAAATGAATGAATGAATAATAAATATATTATGTAGACGAAATAAACTGCCTTAATTTTAGTATCGCGGATGTTACATTATACAGCACTTTACATTACATTCGTAATTACAGAACATCGTCCGGAATAGGGGGAAATCCATCATGTGTACGAACTCATTTTCATTGGAATTACCATGGATTACTTTACATAACAGAAACTTGAACATAAAATTTCTGCAAAACTGCTGATGTCACTCATTTGAACTTATTCAGCGCTAAAAACCCATACACACTTAAAACAAATTAGGTAGTCATATAATTTAAAAATATTAATGCAATTAAAAGTCTTAATGCAATCCATAATATTCAGAAAGTCTTCCGAGACCAGAGCCCTTGAAATTAAACAGATTAACAGGTAGGGTTGCAACCGTTAATACTAATGTTATTATATTTAAAATTTCTTGAATGTTATTTTAGATGCAAACGGAAGTCAATTTTTAATTCAATCAAATTTACGAAATCTAAAACGTGTACATATGTACTAAAGTAAATGTCAACATTGGTAACCCCAAATTAAAAATACTCATCGTTGGATAAAAAAGAAATTGTATTTAGGGTTCTTACGATTGACGACATATTTCAAAAGAACAAAAGTAATACTATGTATCGTGTGGCAGAACAAGTATTATAATGTTCCACAGTTTTGACTGATCATTATTGTGCTTTCCTCAGTCTACTTTTTGTGTAATCTCATAATTGTGATATAAGTATACCGTAAAATTTATGACATATTATTAATGTATCTTCACGGAATATAGTTTTAAACACTGATTTTTAAAAAGAATTTCGAGATGACGCCAGCTATTGATATTTGTTCAATCCCTTCCAGTTATTTCTTATGATACAGTATCAATGTGTATTGTTATTAATAACTGTAGGTCTTCTCATAATTATTTAAAGAAATCATGTTCTCGAAATCATAGAATCACGAAATCAGACAGGAGTATTTTTGCTAAAGCAGTTCAATGCTCTCATTGGGCTTATGTCCACACAGACATATGGGTACTCATTTTCTGTAATTTAAGATACATGTTAACTTTTTTACAACTGTCAGTCGCACGGGCACTTTCCGGATTCATTCTTTACTCCATTTTATAGGAGAAAGTACAATACTGCGCGTGCAAAAGTTATTCGGGTAACTTACAATTTCGAAGTACCCCTCAAGATAGGAAACTCGAAAAGATGCCACATGCAACAGTTCAGTTAAGTTAAATAACAATCAAGCGAATATCGCGTGATTATTTGACTAAAGTTTAATAACCTGCTAACAAATGCGAAGCTCGATCGACATGAAACGAGCTCAGTTATGTGTCGAATGAACAACCATCGCGAGATGAAATGTTTTAGCGAGTATGGGTTATTGGCGGCACTAATAATATCGGTGCAAAGATATTGCGTCACATAAGTCGATAGGCTGGCGAGTGAATCTAAATTTACTTTAAATACATAATCGCATTTGTGCTAGCCTTTGTTTTGAGACGTACACAAGCTTCGGTTGATTAAATAAAATAGTTTTGCGTCTATTTAAGTAGGAAATAAGAAACGGAGAACTTAAACTTACTATGAACAAAATTTAAACCCTTGTAAGTTTGTTACACTTTCCTTTGAATTTTGAACATCCATCTTTGGCACAGTATATTAATAAAATAGAAAGAGAACGAAAATGTGGAAACTTCATAGTTTGCAAGTTATGCAAGAAGTGAAGCGTAGTAGTTTGACCAGTGATCTTTGAGAAGCATTTTCCTATTATTTATCCTCGATGCTTTAAACAGCACATAAGTTGGAAAGAGCTGTACCAGTAATGATTCATCTAAATATAAGCTTCTTCAAAACAAAAAAATTACAGTCATTCGCGCATTAAATAAAGACAAAAGTTTTTACCTAATGAAATTATACAACTAGAGAAACATGATATATCATTGATAGAAAGAAGATATCTCTAAAGCAAAAGTAAATTAGTGATACGTGTCGATGGTCGATTTGTGTCGTTGATGGGAATTTATGATGATTACGATTACAATTGTGTTCGCGATCCAAACACTCTCACATTCGTTCTATATTTTTACGCGAAAAATGAATTATGCCTCAGTTCACTCCTACGAAACACTTTCATACACAATTATAGTACGTATCTGTCATCAAGAAGTAAGAGATAACACTTTCACATAACAGAAGAAAAAACAAATCAGTCCCAGCTGGCATCGCTTTTAGGCTCGACCTCATCTTCTTCAGACAAGATACCGTCTTCTTCTATTACTTGGTCTGGATCATGTAGGAACTCTTCTTCCAAACTTCGCTTTCCCATCCCCAATCCTCGTTTTTTCATTTGTAAAGCACGAATATCTTCCGGCGTTCGTTCCTTGCGAAATTCGTAGACTAGTGGAAAGATATATTCAATTGCTGCTTGAACAGACGCTACATTAGGAGCTGCAATTATAAATGAGAATTATATTTATATAACTTTGAAGGAGATTTTTAAAACCTACATTTATTTGCATAGTAGTTTATATCAATATATTATGTAACTCTGTAATATATTAAGTTGTCTCCTATATACCTGTAACAGTTACGCTTCCTGTAGAAAATATTTTAAGAGTTGCTTTTGGTTCCTTCAATTTATACGTAACGGCAGGGTGTAACTCTGGTTCATAACTATATGAAAGATCAAACAATTATTATTATTATTTGTTATTATTATTACAATATAAAATAAGGTTACTTAAATTATAAGAAAAAATACATACTCTGCATTTTCCTTGTACCGTACTGAGAATGATGTAATTTTGATGGCAAAAGGCATACAACACGTGCCCAGAACATTAACAACTCTAAAGTTATTGAAGCGGACTTTAAAACCAAGTTTTTGCAATGATCGTGCAAAACGACGTGCTGCAACTTTTGCTTGATCCTCGCTTGTCGCGCCTGTGCAAGTTACCTTACCCGATGACCATATAGATGCTGTCGTGTAAGGTCTTCGTAACTTCATTGTTATCATCTGAAAATTTGACATATGACATTATGTTAGGCAGTATATTTTGTGATAGTAAGAAGAGTTTTCACAATTTCTGAATAATGAAATATTTAAATCCTAGAGAAATTATCTTTATGCAAAATCCTGAAGTTGCATTTTTTTAAATTTATAATTCAGTTTATGTGATAAGGATGCATGTACTTAAGTACATCGTATCTCTTATTTAAATAAGTGTTAAAATTACTAAGTATATAAAAAATGTGTACATAAATCTTCATAAAAAAATTAGTTAAAAATTTTAATAAACCCTTTCCTTCCAGTATAATGAAATATTAAATAAAAAGAGTTTGTGCTAACATACCCCATTTTCTCTTCTGTATTCCACATTAGATCCATTTAGAGCAATTTCTCGTAAATTTAAATGGCATCTTACACTGAAGCTACATACAACATTATTAATAACAATGTCGATCTCTGTCGTATCGATTTCTTCCATTTTTGGTGCTCCCATTTGAGCTTGAGCTTGAAAAAGCTGGACATCTTTTGTATCGGAGCATATTTCCGTCCTGTCCAAATTGCTAACATTTTCAACATGATTTAAAGATCCATTTGTTAAAGGTTTCATGCCATTCTTTTGAATAGCAGTTGCCATAATATTTTACACCTGAAAAATTCAGATTATTTCAACCTTATAACCATTTTGTGATATGAAAGTCTAAGAATATAAGAAATAAATGGTACTGAATAATCTAAAAATATAAAAACTATATTTTTAATCTCATCGAATATTTGTTACGGAAATAAGATAAATGTCATTCAAAATGTGTTTGAAATTTACATGTAATCAATGGATAATGAAATTACATGATAAAATATGTGACTTTAGTATATTATATTAAAAGAACGGTACGATGAGGAAAATCTAATAATATTGAAACATACAAACTAAGTTTAAGATTTTATTGCTTAAAAAAGAACCTAATTTCAGAATATTCTGATACAGTACTTCAGTGCGTTAATACTTTTTATAATATATGTTGCTACTGTCTTTTATAAGAGGAATAGTTCAAGACTTGTGGTTATTAAATTACTGGTAAGACAAATGTGTAGAATGATATGGCAAAAGAAATGTAGATTCATATCACAATTAATAACAATCGTTAACTTACTAATCTATACTGATTTAGAAGCTTACTATTAAAGTTGATTGTATTTATGGAAATATTTGAATAAGTAGCGTATAATGGTATAATATACGTAGTACACCAAAAAATGTATAAGAATTTTTCTAAAGCATTAAAAATACTGTTCACATATGAAATGAAGGTTTCATTTTTGGTTACCTTGTGTACTATTGAATACGTATTTCGTAATAAACATTATAAATTAAAAATGATTATTGTTGACACCAAAGGTACATTAGTCATATTTTTCATGTGCTTCCAGCATCATAACCATAAAAGTAGTAAAAAAGAAAATTGTATTAAGAATTCAATTTGAAACCGTTTGTTCAAAATATTTAAAGATATTAATTGGAATATAGTATGACAGTATTACAAGCGTCGAGAGTAGCCGCTATGTCGTGCACTGCAGGAAGTGTTCGATAGAAATGACGATTGGTAGCGGAAGTACAGGACACAGGAATAACCTATGACCGATGCGAATTACTACTCACTTACGATTTGAGTGGATGTTTTTGTTCACTCTTTATCAAAAGTAATTTCTTTGTTGACAAGAACTAGAGGGATATAAAGTTGGCTCAATAACTATTGCCATTGTTTTCGGCCATGTTCACTAGACTGACGACCGATTGTAAGCGGCATAAACCAGAGACAAGGTATTCTTGAAGACCATCTAACTACACGTGACATGTGAAGCTTAGAAATTCTAGGGTTGTATAGCGCCCTCTGAAGTATTACAAAGGCAACATCATGACTGATTGTAGAGACCCTTCTGTTGGTTACCGAACTACAATAACTTGAATTGTTATAAAAACGCTAAATCTGTATTTAAGTATTGAGAAAAACCAAAGAAAGTATTCATAGTTTCTGTTCCATTACCTTATCAACTGCTACTTATAGCCCGTTTCGAGAGAAGATACAGGTAGTTAAAAAATAATAACAAAGTTAAGAATAAAAAGTTCATTAAGTATTTAACTTTAAAATATCTAAATCATTCTTATTTAATGTTTAAGACTATATAATTTATAGTCGAATGGCAAAAGGTACGACGCCATTATCTGTTTGATCTAATTAATTGGTCAGTGAATAACCAATGAAGTGTCTTGAATTTGAAATCCCTGTATCATTTTTCATTCGCCATCTTAAAACACCATTCAGTTTTGTTTGAAAGGAACATTATTTTATTTTTAGTGCAACTTTCTTCAGAAAGTAATAATTCTTTTCAGCAATAATTTACTTTATATACATACCTTCTCTGTTAGAAGAGATGCAACCAACGTTGAGATATATTTATATTCCGATCACGTGATCACGAAAGAGAGGGAAATTCAAACGTGACATAGAACGTCAGTGTTAAGTCAAGGAAATAATACTCGGAAAAAGTATTGAAAACAATACTCATAATGAAACCTTGTCTGTGTATACAACTTTTTATTGTACCTTAAAGCAGGAATGATTACATTAACAATGATGTGGAAATTCAATGTTAACAAAGTTAACAAAGGTCAAGGATATTTTGCATTTATGATGATTATGCTGATATTGTATGATTTCCTAATTCCGATCTAGGTACAATTACAAATATTGATACGATGTGCGAGACATATGTTGTTTTGTATTGAGAAACTAATTCTTTCATAAATGTTTGCGCCAACGTTCTGCATTTCTGGTAGTTGTTAATTTAAATTGGAATGCATTTACGAGGAACAGAACTTGAATTTTGAAGCTCTTAAACCGAACATACATCCATGGATCTCAATATTAGCGACCTTCATCGACTTACAAATAGAAGAGTGCTAAAAAAGATATGTGTCACGAAGACGGACGAGCGACTGCTATTCCATAAATGGCGGTCCGCGTAAAACTCGTTCTCTCATTCATCTCTTACAACACATTCTTATAGCAAAGTGTATCTACCGATCAAAGCGTTGGCGTCTCGAATATTGACATTCGAGATTTCCTAACAAAATGTCATGAAAAAGAAGACAAATTATAATAGAAACGTTTGATCTTCCCTCTAGCAGCCATAGTTAGTGCATTAGGAAGATTTTAATTTCTATGGATTTAATAAGTAAGCCGAGTACGTTTATATCTTCGATTTAGTGAGGAGGAAGTGTTTACCTTCGATGACTTGATTCTATTACAATTTATGACGTACATGTTGCGTGAGCGCAACATAAATTACGTCACGGGATTTTCGATCCATGTGGCCACTTTCGTTTGACGCAAATCCACACACCATGGTTAATGAATATTTCGAATATAGATTTTTTACATTTAGTCTACGTCTCCAAATGAATTTCCTAAAGTACTTTTATTAAACCACTAACAAGAAAATGTCGAAAATGATAATTTGTGTTCTATACTTTTAGACAGACTTTTTTTTTTTGTAGATTCTGTGCAATGTACTGTTCTTTTTAACACAAACAATAAGTCAAACATTTATACTCAGTGACATTTACAGAAACAATTGTTTTCATTTCACTAAGAATCTCCTCGTTTATTGAACTTCCCGTTAGTTAGTATTATCTAACAAGGTTAATCTTATTTTTTAATGTTGGATGTAAATATTCATCATGATGTCATCTGCAATTGTCGGGACATTATAGAGGTCTATTTTAAAGCATACAGAGATTGGCATGTCACGTGGTATTGCGATACCGTTCAATCGAATACAATTACAACCAGTTTCGTTACACTTTGTTAATTATTAGTCAATCTTAGAATGCAATGAGTCGTCTTACTCTCGCGCGAGGTAGAGGAATTGAAGAACCATGATCACCATCAGATATTACAAAATTGTACATGTCGCTTGTAATTTAAACTTAATTGAAGCTTTAAAATTCACGTAAATATATTTAAAAAAAAAACATCTCTACACAGCGAGAAAGTTACATGAATGATAGTCAATAATAATCGGACATGTTTTATCGAATCATGAATTTTTATTATCATTTAAAAAAAATTCAGAGTAAGTAATATTATTTGTAAGCCTGGATACATTCCTGAATACATAAAACATTTCGATGGATCCATAAAATTAAATATTTATTAGAATAAAGTCTCTGATTCTTTAGTGAAATGTTATTTGGTTGTACTACTTATATTCAGGTATACAGAACTTAACAATTTGTAAAATTACTTTTTATTTCTGTAGTTGTATATCATATCTCTTTACTAAATATCGCAAGACAGATTTTTTAAGATTTCTTGTAGATTTCATTCGAAGATATCTGAAGTATTTTAAAAACTTCAGAAAAATTGTATAATATTTCGAAAACGGTATTGCAATGATCTATGTTGTACGAGTGGTAATATTTGCAGAGATTATTATCTCGTGACGTTACCTAAGCACAAGATAACAATCAAGATTCTTGGTATGTCAACCGTGTTAAAATTTGTCCCGTACAGGTACTATTCTGTACCTGCATACTTCATTCTCGGCTATCACGCGTGCACTTAAAAATAAATACAACTTTTGCCGATTAAATTATTTTAATACATAATCGTGCATTTTTTCAGTAAATTTGAAAAATTATTCAATTGAATTCTTCATCGAAGAAGTCATTAGTTAGGCATTAGCTGGACACTTGAAACAAAGTTGACATAACCCCAGTTAATGCGATAACACATTCAATGCAATTACATGATGTTGCTGACGTGTGAAGTAGAACGTTCGAATAAAAGTAAAAAAGTTTACTGACGTTATTTTGAACTTTAGCTACATATCATTTAGAGATAAAATTCTACGTGCAATTGCGTCACTTGGAGTTGACAGATCAAGCAAATTTCAATTATTATATAACGTATATTTGATTATTTCTTTTTAAAATGTTAATTACAATTAACATTTTATATTTCTTGTATTGGTATTATACAATGTACGTATAAATGCAATTACTTTACGCTGAGAGTTATCTGCCGAACTGTGGACCATCAGTTATGAAAAGTAAAGCTCGAGACCTAAGGTCGAGTATGATGTTCTTTCAGTCACGTTAAAGTACAATTTACGACTCAGGTTGCGGGAGAATGAACCTTCTTATTACCTACAGGGTAAACACGCATTATATTCTTGGATCGTAGTGGTTATGTATACCTATTTCTGTGAAAATGAGCACGTGCTACATATCGATTACGGTTATTAATATTCAATGCACTTAAGGAATATGGTAATTTCTGAAAATGTCAATACTGACATTCTTTTAGTCAGATTTCGAATATCTCCCACGACTGATATTTATTACCACGTTATTTGAGGGGAGTTCATTAAATGGCAACTAATCATCTAGAAAGCATATCATTAATTGAGAGGTGTACCATTAGTTGAATAAAGTACACTGCATGTACGTCTTGAGGTTCAATGAAGCATTTGTTTATATCGATCCCTCGAATTACACGGTATTCTTAGTACATGGTACAAGTTATTTCGATTTCTCTGAATGATTATTATTTGTTAAATGCCGTTGATGATATATTTATACGTGAGATAAATGTCTTTACATTGTTATGGCGAATGGTCAGTTAACATACATCTAAGCGACTCTCTCCAGGTTCCGGGTACCTATTAACACCAATATACCTCCTGTGCTCACTCTTATTGTATCCTGGTTAAGTGAGTACTATATCTTCATAGTTACATGTCACAAATAACATCACTTTGATGAAATTACTGCCGTGACCTGACTTTTTGACTTACCTTATAACTTAATTGGGCCTAGGGAATTGCGGAGCAATGTACATTTTACGGATTTGCAGGGCCTATACGAGTTTCTGAAATACATGTACTGTACATACATTAAACAACTTTTGGCGGATTTACATTAAAATATTTTAATAATACATAATTTAATTACTCCTATTTATACATTATATTTTGGATTTGGGTAATAGATACAATTCAATATGTCTTTAGTTTTTGTTACATTTTTTATTATAATCAGTCGTAATGCACTTAAAATGATTATCAAATGAATATCTTCTAATATCTCTACAGGTGCATATTAGAAGTCCTAACATAAAAGACTATCTCAAGATTTGCAAAATACGAGCATTCAGGTTCTGAATGTTCAAAACGAGCATTCCACGTTCACCCCTTCACATGCTTGTAGGATGTTAACCGGAAGCCCGGAGGAACCTGCCGAAAAGTGTACCGCCAGTTAAGTAACACACATAAATTCTTCGGCACACCATCCGACAGAGAGTCGTTTGAGGTCATGTACCGTGAGACATTTTTCCACGAGTATTTATAATATAAAAACATCTGTTACAATGTTCATAAAGACGCAAGTGGACTCTAAATATTTGAAACGAATCTTCCACTCATTCTTATTACATGCTTATAAAATGTTCGGATACTGGGTGATACTCGTGGAAAAGTGTGCCGTCGTTAATGTAACGCATAAATTCTTCGAGCCGACATCTGGTACGGCGTTGTTTAAGGTCTAATCGTAACGTGATTTAGGGGATCTTCGGGTTTAATATAAAAAAATTCTTTATAATGTCCATGAGACGCAAATGGACTCTAAATATTTAAAACTAATCTTCCAGACTCATTTTCATTACATGCTCATAAAATATTCGAATACTCGAAGGTCCTCGTAGAAAAGTGTGCCATCGTTAATGTAACGCATAAATTCTTGGAGCCGGCATCTTGTACGGCGTCGTGTTTAAGGTCGAATCGTAACGTGATTTAGGGGATCTTCGGGTCCTCGAGACTCGCAGGGCGTGCACGATCTCTCTTGATGCATCCGCGATGCCGTTGCATCGTCACGTCAGTTCCATAACGGTAGTCGGTTGGCGGCGTAGCACGGAGTAGGCCCAGTCGCAAGAGGGAGAAGGAGACACGCACGGGAGAAGGAGACCCGTTTCTGGATTGCTCGACGCTCCTCACAGTTCGCTACCTTCATTGGTAGTGCCCGATCGGCCGTCGTACTTTCCGTACGTATCTTTTATCCTTCCTTGACTCGTAAACGAGGTCCCGCGTCGTTCGTACTCACCGACGCGGCCCGAATGCCGGGCACGACGCTCCTCTAGAGGATTTCCCGTGTTTGGAAACCTCGTGGACCGAACCCCGTGCCTCTTTGTCAGTGCACTTTGGGCACCCTGGTGCGATCATTCGCCACAGGTGAGTCATCGCTGAAAATAATTGTGTCCGGAAAGTTTCGATCGAAATATCGTTTAACGGACCACGACGAAAAAGACGTCCCTAGCCGGCGAGACTCCACTCCGATTTTTAACACTTTATCGGATTTGATAATAAGGGTCTGAAGATTTTTGAGGCAATTTTTTTTTGCCGTTCACTTAAATAGATGTCTCGTGTCTCGGACTCGCGTCATGCTTGGATCTAACGGGCGGGACCGGATCCTTTTCCTTTTCTGGGTGTTTCTTTTTCTTTTTTTTTTTTTTAATACGGATTGGAACGCGCGCATTGGGGGTGGGTTTATCTGCCGGATAACGTACGCTATTGTTTAATTGTTTCTGCTGGGTCTTGCTTGAGAAAGTTCCCCAGGGATATGAAATGATAAACTGAAATTAATTCTTCGGAAATAAGGCGCCAGATCTACGCACGCGTACGCACGCAGGCACGCACGAAATATTCTTGCCATGGAGCATGACGAATTCTTGACGAAAATCTTTTTTTTTTTTCATACGGATTGGAACGCGCGCATTGGGGGTGGGTTTATCTGCCGGATAACGTACGCTATTGTTTAATTGTTTCTGCTGGGTCTTGCTTGAGAAAATTCGCCAGGGAAATGAACTGATAAACTGAAATTAATTCTTCGGAAATAAGGCGCCAGATTTAATGCACGCGTACGCACGCAGGCACGCACGAAATATTCTTGCCACGGAGTATGACGAATTAATACAAAAATAGAAGCAAGTTGAATCGGATTTTTTTTTTTAACTTTTTCAATTGTACATTTTTTAACACTCGGACTGCATGAGTTTTATATGAATAGAGAAATGTAATTATTAACATACTTGTTCGATAGTTTCATTGATTGTAAATAAAATAAGTTAGCGTTTTGTTTAGAATGAGAATATCTGGAATTAAATTTGAATTAACTAAACCATCTTATAATAGAGGAATCTGGAAACATGGTTTCGATATAACACGCTCAGGCTGAAATTATTAACATTTCATGTGCGACTACATATCCGAATGGTTACTTGGGCTCAATAATTAATGTTGACTACAATTAATTTGCTATAGTTAATTATTTTAAATATATATTCAATAACTGCGAAAAAATGCATACTTTCGTTGTATAGAAGAATTACTTTCATTTGAAATAAATACATTTAACATTATTCAGTCGAGTAGGCAATGTAAGGTTCGCATTACTCAAATGTATTATTCATAAGTGTTTATTTTTGTGATTCATAAAAATGATACGTTTGAAATCGAAATCGGCCTTTAAAATGTATTATATAAAGAATACTTTAAAAAAAGTAGATTTGCCATTAAACGCGATGGCTTCAATGGTAACCGCAATAAATACCGGAAGTGTTTGACAATTTTGCGCTTTATGTGATATTCTACTTCCTAAATTTCTCTATTATTGCATATTGTCCTGTTATCGTTCAAACTGATTTCTGACTCGCTAATATGCTACAGAATAGTTTAGAACTATCATTCATGATAGAAGTAAGACCATTTAATTACTTTAAGAGGGACAAACGAAATTACTGCTAACATGGAATCGTTCGACTTAAAAATGATTTTTCTTTGTTGCCGTGAACATTCCTTCAAATCAAGTGGAAATGATATATGCCCATTTTCAATGTGATAATCTGCGTGTAATAACGTAATAACTCAATTACCAACGAGCGAAAATATTCTCCTTCTAGGAAAGCGGTATATACGTAATTATCGACAACTATGTATTTTGATTCCTTGAAATTGTGTTATGATAATTGTTCGCTTATAATAGCGCAAGTTGAGGATAATCCGGGATTAGAGGAAAAGAAGAGGTCGTAAATTTCCAATGACGTAAGAGAACCAGGTATAATTGTGACGAATTAAGTTTTGGTGTAACGATTTCTTTTGAAAGAGGAAAATAACTTGGTTTTCAATTATACTATACCTTCGCGTGGTCATAATGATTTTATTTGCTATCTTTATAGTACATCGGTCAGTAATTGCTTATGAATGAAGTACTTAATAACCGTTAAGAAAATATAAATCTTGAATTATCAGTAGCTTATAAACAAGTGATTTAGTTATTGTAATATATAATTTTTTGGAAAGCAAGTAGATGTCTTCGTTAGCGGCAAGATCTTTTAGGGAATTTAAGCTAACTCGATATTATTTGTACACACTTCTGATGAATAACGTTAACAAAAATACTTGACGAATTATTGCTCTCCTAGTGCTCAATTATGCTCTGTTAAACGCTTTATGCATTTCATAAGAAAATCATTTGTGGCACTTATTTTTGTAGTAATTCTTACTTAATGCGACGGAACAAAATAGATACGACAAAAAGATTACTACACTTTTCTAGTATAAAATATGCATTTTCTCGTGAATTTCAGATCGATTGGCGTTTCTGCGTTAAAATTCCCATTTCTCTGATTTTTATTTCAACCTTCTCATAATCCTATGTTACGAAATTGTAATTTCACCGAAGCAGTTAGGAATACGACGAAACAGGAATTATTCTTTTCTCAAGAAGTTCATTAATCGCCGCGGAAACGCCGCTTTTTATAATGTCGGGAAGTAGGAATCTCTTCACAGTTTCCTCGGCCGTTTGAGAGATGCACCATTGTCGGTCTAGAAAGTTAGATGCGAATGGGGCAAAAAGTCTCGGCACTAATGCCACGAAGCGCCTTTCCTGTTTCCCGAGGCACCTGTGCACTTTGGCGTTCATGCTCAGCGGCTCGATGCGAAATTTTAGGAACGGAAACGTCGGATTCGTGCCGGCGCCGTATCGCTTGCGAGAAAGATATCCCGCGCCTTTCGTGCGCGCGCTACCTCGTGGCCACCTAGGAAATTTGCCTATGTATATATATACATTTGTACATACACTGCCATTCATCGATGGTTACCTCGCGGACCTACTGCCTTCTTCGGCCGCGCGGCGTACTAGCGACGGGAGCAACGCGAATTTGAATCGCCCAAGGGGCAGAATGGATTTCCTAAAGAAAATAAATGTTTCTAAAGAAAAACAATTAATGAAAATACCGTTATGAATGAAAAAAGACGCTAAGTGGGCCAGGGACACTTCATAATAATATGTAAATAATTTTCATCAATTGTTTTTGTTTATAAACATTTTTTTTCTTTAGGAAATCCATTCTGCCCCTTGGGCGATTCAAATTCGCGTTGCTCCCGCCGCTAGTACGCCGCGCGGCCGGAGAGGGCAGTAGGTCCGCGAGGAAACCATGGATGAATACGAGTGTACATATCTGCATACATTATACCTGTGAGCGCGTTTTCTCTCTCCCTCGCGCGGTCGTAACCAACTAGGTGATTCACTTACTCTCATGAGTTTCTAGGAGAATAATCTTTACTGTGCGAGACACATCTCGTCATCTCTCGTCAAACTCGCCGGCGGGATTTCCTTTCGTTAACGATGATCCCTTTTCCTGGAAAGAAAATAACTTCAGAAACCTCGTCAAATTTATATTTCCTTTCCAAGAAAGTTCCCACTACACCATATCTACCGTAAATTTGTGCTTTCAATTCAAATCGTTTATTATATAGAAAATTGAAACAGAGTTCGGATAATCGGAAATAACACAGGAGCTCCAAAGTAAACGATCGCTTCGTGAAACAATTGCTAGACTTTTTATAAATGGATTATAGATATTTTATTGTGGAGGTTAGAGAACAGTTCTTGATTTTTTGGATACACTGGTGTATTACACTCTGACTTTTATAGTCAAAGGTATTTCAAAGATCTAAGTACAATTTAAAAATTGTAATGAAATCAGGGTTAAGTAAAATGTATTTGTAAAGAGGGGAACGTGCTCCTTTTTGAATAATTTTTCAAGATATGCTTTAAATGTATAAGGTTACATTTCAAAGTAACAATGCATTATGACATGACGATAAGTAAGAAGACTGTATGAATGCATTTATATTAAGCAGAAAAAATGTACAGCATTGCACATAGATATTATTTTTGTTTCAGAATCAAAGATCAAGATGAAGTGGTTGTTACCTTGTTTACTTGTACTTTGCGAAATAGCTGCACAAGCTTCTTCCACACAGCCGTACGTATTTGTAGATTAATTAAATAATTTTCTTTAAAAGTACGAGGAAAATTAAGGAATAATGTGCTTACAACAAAAGTGTTACAAAGGGATTTACAGTTAGAAATGGAAAGAGAAATATAATCTGTATTTTAGCCAATTTTTTGTAGTTTGTAATTAATTTTAAGATGTCAGCACTGTAATGACATTAATATTTTTTTGTTTTTAAAGATTTTACACAGTGATTGCTCCAAAAGTAGTCCGTCCTAATTCAGAGTATCATGTAGCAGTGAGTATTATTGGGACACCAGTTTCAACGACAGTATCGGTGATATTGCAAGGAAGCCAAGATGGAGAAGTATTTTTTAATGCATCACAAATTGTCGTCGTAGATCCCTATTCCACACGAATAATAAAGTTAGAGGTGAATATCTTGAAATTGCATATTTAGCAAAGCCTGTAACTGATCCTGCATATATTAAAAACATACCGATTTAACCAGTTATCTATGTCTGAAGTAAAATGCCATAGTTTATTCTATTGGGAATGGAATAATGAGACAATTGAAAAGTAAGAATCGGAATGTGACAATTCCTAACATGTACGGATTCAGGTTTTTTAAAAAGAGAAAGATAAGAAATTGATATTTGGATAGAAATTAAAACTATAGAACAGTTACAAGAACAATTTGCTAATCACTTTTAGAGATATTAAGAGGTTCTTGAATTATTTATAATTTTATTGTTAATTGTAGGTTGGAGACACCAGCCCTGGAGAGTACCTTCTAACAACAAAAGGTCTCTCAGGATTCAAGTTTGGAAATACTTCAGATGTACAGTTTGTTCATAAGAGTTATTCAGTTTTCATTCAAACTGATCGTGCAATTTACAAACCTGGGAGCAAAGTGATGTTTCGATGTCTTGTATTGGACTCGAGACTGAAACCAGCAGTCACAAGACAGTTGGATGTGTACATTACAGTAATTAGAAAATGCGTTATTTATGCTTATATGGGATGAATAGCTAGTATTTAATTTTATTTTTTAAATACAGTAGGTACATACAAACAGTGATAATTGATAACTTTAGATGTATGTTTGTAGGATGGAGGTGGAAATCGAATTAAACAATGGAACCGACCAGCACTAAGTAGAGGTGTATTTAGTAGTGAACTAGAATTGTCCAAATCTCCAGTTTTGGGTGACTGGAAGATAGTTGCTAACGTGGCCGATCAACTGTTTGAAAAAGAATTTCAAGTTGCTGAATATGTGCTTCCAAAGTTTGAAGTTACGATAGATGCACCAAAACATGCAACTTTTAAGGATGGCAAGATACCTATAACAGTCTACGCAAAGTATTAATTAAAATTTAATTACAAATACTGTAATAGTACTTTATGCACAGCTCCTAATTAAAGGGTATTCATATTATTTTTATCAATAGGTACACATATGGAGAACCTGTTAAAGGTGAAGCTACTATAACAGCTTACCCTGATATATTTTCTGGCGTGATTCAACCAATTTTTCAGTCACCAGTGCGAAAAGTATTACCCATTGATGGAAAAGTAACAGTTGACTTTGATATTGTTACGGAGCTTAGGTATGTTATTATTTCTGAAGTTTATTTTTTCTTATTACTAACAAATAATTGCTCATTATAACTATCACTATCAGTATTAATGCTTTTATAGATTGACAGATGAGTATGAACGACCCGTTCAACTGGATGTTGCAGTCGAGGAAGCGTTAACAGGTCGTAGGCAAAATACGTCCATGCAAATTACCTTGCATAAACATAAGTACACCATGGAGCTTATCAAAACATCAACATATTACAAGCCTGGTCTTACGTACACCGCTTTTGTGAGTAAGAATTTATTTGAATAAGTTAAGCGTGTGAGTGTACTGAGTAAATTCATTTCATTGCTATTTAGATTTCCAATTTAAGTAGTTTAAAGCTTTTTCGCCCATTTTCAGAACTATCGTTCTTAACTGTTATTGTAAGTGATATAAAAGGTTTTAAGATATGAAAAATTATAAAGTAAGGGCAAAGGTTTGCTTCAAAATAATACAAAGTAGAAACGTTACTAAGATGAGAATATTTCACAGATAAAACTAACTTACCACGATGGATCTCCTGTTCGAGATACGGTAAATCCTGTATTAATTGCCTATGGATTTACTTATAATCAATCTGCTTTTCTCAACGCTACTCGTATGTTGGATGAAAATGGAATCGTTCAACTGGATTTTAATCCCCCAATTGTTGAGGATAATTTTCCACAACCACTTCAAATTGAGGTATTTTACATGAAATGACATTGTTACTCGAGTTAAGCTAGATCCATTATGTTATAAATTATTTTTGTATTTTTCTGACCTAGGCACAGTACTTAAATCTTCATGAATGGTTTCCGTCCACGAACCAAGCATTGTCACCCAGTAACACGTATATACAAGCTATACTCAAGACGAAGAAACCCATGGTATGTGTAAAAAAGCAAATAAAATTCAATATCACGGTTTGATTTCATAGCAACAAAAATATGTTTTTGAATTACCAGGTCAGTCACGAGGTTGAGGTTGAAGTAAATTCTACTGCGCCGCTGAAATATTTGAGTTATGAAATTTTTGGGCGTGGAAATATTCTATACGCCGCTTCTATACAAGTTCCTAATAGAAATGTGGCAAGTTTCAAGTAAGTTTATTGTTACTAATAAAGTACAATCTTTTAATATATTACAGATTGTTGAAAAACGTATTGCTCTTAAATATTGCCTTTCAGGTTTTTAGCAACTTATGTAATGGCTCCGAGAGCACATGTCGTAGTCTATTATGTAAAAGATGATGGTGAGGTAGTAGCAGATGCTCTGGATGTTGATCTAGAGGGTACGCTTCAAAATTTCGTAAGTGACTTCAAACATGTTAAAAAAATATTATTTCCAGTGTATATTTCATCGAAACTCTACTGAGTTTCATGATTTTATTAAATGTATCAGTGAAACTGATTTTAATGCTAATGTTTAATAAATAAAATATGTATTGCTTATTTTAGGTTGACATTAAAGTGTCACCTGGTGAGACAACTCCTGGGGAAGGTGTCGATCTTACAATTACTTCAAAACCGAATTCCTATGTTGGCATATTAGCAGTTGATCAAAGCTCACTATTGTTGAAATCTGGCAATGACATTTCCCGCGTTAGTATATTTTCTCGTTTTATTACGATTTAAGATTTAGAACAAAATCTCAGAAATTCATTGTTTACGTACAGGAACAAGTCGACAAGGAACTTAGGTCATATGATATGGCGGAAGAGTCACCATATGACATGTTCGGTGAATCCTTTTGGCGGCCAGGATCTGCTACTGCTGAAGATGTTTTTGAAGTATGTATCGATGGATATTTCAACAGGAAATATGTATATATATTTGTACGATATAATCTTTATTGACATTTAACCTAAATTGAATCGCATTTCCTGCCTTCCAGAAATCGGGCGTAACTATACGCACAAATGGTTATGTTCATAAAAGCATCCCAATCAGTGAGTATCTTTAGTGTAATACTCATATGGTCTCAAATAAGCGAGTAAAAAATATTTCGACGCATCTTGAAAAAGCTACTAATAAGCATATATGATTTTTTATTACTTTACGAAACCAAGATATTTTTCTAAACTAATTTTATATTGAGTAATTAGATATTTATGTAAAATCTACGGCTACGTGTAATACAGCATGATAATAACTGAATAGGCTGAGCATCGCGTTTTACAGATGCATTTCGTGCTCAGTTAGAAACCGCATTTATTGTTTAACATTGCTTGTATGTGCGTAGTATACTACAGATCTAATATCGACTCAGTGGCGTATGCGTCTGCTGCCGCAAGTTCAGTCTCAACTGCATTCCCATCTGAGAGGCACGAAAACGTCAAAGTACGCAAGAATTTCCCCGAAACCTGGCTTTGGCAAACGCTCGATGCCGGGTAATGCTAATGAAATTAAAGATTGTTTTCTTTCATTTTTATCTTATATTTCACAATGCGTTGTGTCTCCCTCATTTTAAGATTTCACTATCGCGTATTTTTCCTTTCTTGCGTACAGTACCTTCTTTTATACAAAATTAAGATACCGATGAAAATATGATTTAAAATACTAGTATACCAATCTGGTACAATTCCACGCATTATTGTTTAAATCTGTTATTTTTAACAGGAATATCTACCGAAATTTTCGTTAACATTTTACATCAATATAAATTAAATGTCATCTCGCAAAATCGTTTTGTTTTATACAAGTCGATTATGAGATTTTCAATATACCCTTCCATTTTTTAGCCATTTCTGATTTGAGTTATTATAATCTCGTAGAAAGTACAAAATATAAGTAAATTACTGTTGCGAAGGATTACTTCAATATTGTTCATAAAACTGATATTCTTATTTCTGTAATCATGTGCGTGAGAAGGAAGGAAAGATAATATAGTATGTACAAAGCATGAAAATCTGATGGTGGAGGTTTCGTTCAAGGGAGGTATAACTTCAGTTTCGGTTATAAGAAAAGTCATTGTTAGTTTTTTTAGAACTGCTGTTAACATTGTTTTCAAGGAAAGATCCCCTTAACGATTCGAAGATCAAAAACATTTGAATTCAAAATTAGTGACATTCCAAATATTTTTCTACCCTGTACGTGATGCATTATTTTTACGTATCAATTTTAATCAGTTAAAACAATTTGTCCGTATATAATTCAATATTAGTTTTTGAAATTTTCTATATGTTTAAAATGCCTTTTTTTTTTTTAAAAAACAAGCTTACAGTTGTTTTGATATTTTGAAAAAAATTGAAATTGTGACATATGTCAATTATATGTATACCTGAAACAGAGGTGTACCTCTATATGGTAATGGTTTATTAACATTTCCTTCGTAAATTTATACTTTATCTAACATGTGAAGAGTAAAGAGGAATTAATAGGAAGATGTGGACAGGTGGAGGAATTTGATTTTGGGATTATATTAGATCCTGTATGTGGACAGTTTGATGTATTTGCTTCATTGTGTTTTTATACAAGGAATGCATGTTAATAATTGTACAGTAGACTCCCGTATTACGCGATTAATACATTACGCATTGTACGAAGAATTGCGTTATATGAATAAAGTAGTAGAATAATTAAAAAAAAAAAAAATACAGCAGTACAATAACTTTGGCGCACTATAGGAATTCGATATACAGGAGTCTACTGCAATTCATTCGCCTTTGAATTTAAAACACTAACGCTTTGGTATAAAATTTCGTAAAGGACATATTGTATAAAACGTTTATGGAAAGTAATATTTAGAAAATTTAATTAATGGTAATATTTGCCAATAGACCTGTCTTTCAGTATTTAGCATTATATACAATGAATTTATGAAGTTCTGAAAGTTGCCTCGATGGATGAATATTCCAAAAATTTCGTTAGAAATATGTGGCTTCGATCATTGATTCATCTTAAGCACGGTGTCAGAAAAATCTAACACAGCTACAAGTATAATTTCCAGATTATTGAGAAAGAAATCGAGCATCCTCTTGTCATTGTTTAATGTTACACTTTCAGTGCGTCTATTTCTACTATTGACCCAAAGAGAAAATAAGAGCGATGGTCTTCGGCTTATTAATTCCATCAACACCAGATGTTTGATTAACATTGTAACAGAATTTTTATAATTCGTGTTATAATTGAAATCTCTGTTCAATTTTCATGACTCGTTCCCATCATATATCGATACATCTGTTTCGCTGTCAGTATTTTATACAGGAATATTTAATGTCAATTTTGCAAAACGTTCTGTATATTCAAAATGTATAGTAAACCTCGAGAATGTTTACGGGCAATTTTGTTTAACGAGCCTTTGGGCCAGAAATTTGAGGGAAATTTTCGAACGATTTGAACACATCTCAAACTTTATGCTCTTGTGTACATAATACATCGAATAGAGTTGGATTACAGGGCAGCCAGGATATCTGGATGGTAGAATAGATGGCTCGCTTCATGGGGCGTCCACATTTCGTCCAGACCTTGGTCCACCCGTAACGCACAGACTAGCAACCAGGCCACCACTGGCAGGTCCTTACGCCTTCTCTCGCATCCCAATTCCTGTATGGAATAAGCCCCGTGTTTTCCTTATGCATGACATCTCAAACACCTGGCTTTTCACAAACTTCTCTTCAGGGTATTTATTCCTATTTCTTTACTCCAATATATATATGCACGCTTCGGTTCGTCTACACGTATGTGCAATGTCCATCGAGTGCAGTCGTGTTGTGTAAATTATTTTGAATGTTCGACTTATTGTTAATGTTTGACTGCTTACTGTCTATTAAGTCACACGCGTTACGTTTGTTACAAGAGGCATGCATGTATTTCATTATTTGTGGGCAAAGTGCGAACTGTGAAATAGTCATTATGTGTGATATCCCTTTGGAAAACGAAAACATGTTAAGTCCATTTGTCACATGGTTGTGTTTGAATGCAAGAATTAATTGAGCTTTCTTTCATCCTAAATATAGACCGGAAGGACGAACTGTAATGAGAAGAAATGTACCTGATACAATCACGTCCTGGGTAATAAGCGGATTTTCCGTCGATTCAGTTTATGGGTTAGGCCTTATCGATGAACCAAAGAAGGTGGGTGAATTTTGTAGGTATATAGAAAGAAACGAATGGAAATGATGGACGTTTTTGTTTTCGAATAATTAATTTTTTTTTTCTATAAAATAGGATCTTGAAAGATTTTTCTGAGTTTTCTTTTTACCGTAGCGTTAATGACAAAACGTGTCTGTTAATTATCATTCAGTGTTGTGTGCGTTATAACTTGTATAATTTGTCATCACTTTAGCATATTTTACTCTCTATACCCATCTGCATATATTTGTTAAAAGAAAAAATCAACAAGTTTAATTCTTTTTGCAGTTAAAAGTGTTTAAACCTTTCTTTGTGTCCATGGATCTTCCATATTCTGTAATACGAGGAGAGGCTGTTGCGATACCAATAGTAGTATTCAACTACATGAATAAAGATTTAACAGTTGAGATATTATTGGAGAACGAAGGACAATTTGAATTTGCTGAAATTTCGAACGATGTTCACGATCCGCCAAGTAAGTTTCTGAATAAGTATATATTGTTTGCTCTAATCTTAAAGAGAAATATAGAGTAAAATCTTGTTATTTAGGGGGTAAAAAGATTAATATTTACTGTTTTAATAATAACATATGTATTTTTCAGAATTAGAACTATATCGCCGAAAGAGAGTGGATGTAAAAGCAAATACTGGGGAGAGTACTTCTTTCATGATTATACCAAGAGAATTGGATTATATTACCATAAAGGTGACAGCAAGTAGTGTTTTAGCAGGAGACAGCGTAGAACGTAAATTACTTGTTAAGGTATGTATCGAAGCATTAATGTTTGGAATATATTACGTCTCACTTTACTTTGTAATCTTGGAATACATATTTTAATTGTTATTTAGGCTGAGGGTGAAACACAGTTTAGAAATAAAGCTGTATTTTTGGATCTTCGAGATGCAAAACAGATTCAAACTACCTTGACAGCAGACATTCCTAAAAATGCTGTACCAGGGTCTGAGTATATTGAAATATCTGCCGTGGGTAATACTATTTTTCAATAAATTAATCGTATTATATTAGCATTGATACATTTACGTTAATTTTTTTATTTACACTTCTTCATTTTTAGGAGATATTTTGGGCCCGAGTATTCCAAATCTTGCCAATTTGATAAAAATGCCATTTGGATGCGGAGAGCAGAACATGTTGAATTTTGTTCCAAACATTGTGATATTGAATTACTTGAAGGTGAGCATGAATTGTTTGTGCAATATATGTCTAATAAACGGTGGTAGTATACAACAAAAATAAATTGCAGAATACAAACCAGTTAACTCAAGCTGTTCAGAGTAAAGCACTGCGATATTTGGAGATCGGTTACCAACAAGAGTTAACTTATCGACATAAAGACGGTTCATTTAGCGCATTTGGAACTTCTGATCCAACAGGCAGCACATGGTTTGTATCATGATTTGTATGGCATAAGATATTGTTTAATTACGGTAACATTGAAGATTGTCATCAACTATACTTTAGGCTTACTGCCTTCGTTGCGAAGTCCTTTAAACAAGCAGCCGAACACACCACTATTGAGGATAAAATAATTGATGAAGCATTGCAATGGCTTTCCAATAATCAAGCACCAAATGGAAGTTTTCCTGAAATTGGAAGAGTGAGCCATCGTGATATGCAAGGAGGAGCTGCTAAAGGTCTTGCCTTAACAGCATTCACTCTTGTAGCATTCCTTGAAAATGAGGTATACCGACAAGTCTTTTCAATTTGCATTATAAGAGTATTATATCAGAATTGTTAACATGTGTTAAACTTTAAGACTATATGTATATTTTTTTTTCTAGAATGCAGTCAAACAATATCAAAACACTATTAATAAGGGCATTGATTACGTTGTGCGCTATATGCAAGATTTGGATGACGTTTATGCACTGAGTTTATGTACATATGTATTGAATCTAGCAAGCCATCCTTTCGAAGATACTGCTTATAATTTGTTAGAATCCAAAGCTGTAACAAAGGATGATATGAAATGGTGGATGAAACCTGTTCCTAAAAATGATAAGAATCCATGGTATTCGTTACCGAGATCTGTAGACGTAGAGATGACATCCTACGCACTGCTGACTTATCTTAGACGAAATTTAATAACAGATTCTATTCCTATCATGAAGTGGCTTGTAAAGCAGAGGAACATGGAAGGTGGTTTTGCCTCAACTCAGGTAGTTTTGGAATTATATTAACGTTTATATTTTCGCAGATTATCATTTCTAAAACGTACACTTTTGATGCTGTAATATTTTAATTATTATTTTACTTATAATTATTTATTTCGTATTACTTTTAGGATACTGTAATAGGCATTTATGCATTGGCAAAGTTAGGTGAAAAACTTGCTACCAGAAGTAACAATATCGCCATTTCGTTTACATATGAAGGAGGAGAACAAAAACAATTGACAATAAATTCTGGAAATTCTATGATTCTACAAAAATTCGTGGTATGTTTACGTACTAACTGTAGAATTTCTAAGAAAATTGTAAATTTGTGAAAAAAACGATTTACGTTTGTCCTATTTATGTTCAGCTTCCAAAAAAAACTCGTGTCGTTAATGTAACGGCCACAGGTAATGGTTTTTCTATTGTACAAGTATCATCAAGTTATAATCTGAACGTCACAGGAGCATTTCCTTTATTCACACTGGACCCACAAGTGGATAAAAATTCTAACGCCAATCATCTTCAGCTCTCCATTTGTTCCGGGTATGTTGATGGAATTTCAAAATAGTTTGTTAGCATTATGTATTTGTTGAATATTTGTTACTTAAGTATACAATTAGAGGTTTGAAAAAGGTTGTCAATTGGATAACTGTTTAAAATATTATAAGACAATTAGATTATTCATTTTCAGAATTTCACTAATTTATATCGTGGACCATTTCTCATTTTGGCGCAATATATAACATAACATATGTTTTATATAGATTTGTTCCAACAAAAGAAGCAAATGAAAGTAATATGGCCGTAATGGAAATTAGTCTGCCATCTGGCTTTACAGTAGATGTGGATTCTTTGCCCAGTTTGGAAGTATCTCAAAATGTGAAGCGAGTCGAAACTAAGAATGGCGATACAATGGTTGTGTTATATTTCGATAAGGTCAGTATAATATATCTATATGATTTCAGACAGCATAAATGATGACCAGATAGCAGTGACGTTAGTTTTAAGTATTAACTGATGATATATTTTTAGTAAATCTTTTTTTTTTAATATCTTGTGAATCGATGTATCTTTTCTTTACAGATGGTAAGACAGGAATACTGTCCAACGGTATCAGCATTTAGAACACATAAAGTAGCTAAACAGAAGCCAGTACCAGTGACAATTTATGACTACTATGACTCATGTAAGCATTTTAGAATACGAGTTACTCCAAATGTTATTTTGTAACTAATATTTACTCTTTATATTTTGTAATAAATAGCAAGAAGAGCAAGAGTGTTTTACGAGCCAAGGGCTACTACACTATGTGACATCTGTGAAAAAGATGATTGCGACAATGTTTGCATTGGAGCATTGGGTAACCAAAAGGATGGTGGTACAGCATCTATGGCCCCAACAATACGCACGTCTCAATACTTTGAACTACTACTTTGTTCAATTATTTTTACAGTTCATAAGTACATGTAAATTGCACCATAGTAAATAATTTAAAAACTCTATTTAGATAGATTTAACTGTAAGTATTCTCAGACCATTAACCGCAGTACATAGAAAACGTGTACAGATCGGTATAATAAGTGATAACCAAAGTGCTTTGTATTTACATGAAATGCAAGACACAACACACGTAAACTAAAGTTTGTTTTTTATTTCTTCGCAGTAAACTGCTCACATGCCATCAATATAACAATATTTAAGTGGATATAAAATGACATGTACTAAATTATAGAGTTATAAAATAAAGTTGTTTTATTGTTACATATACATTATCGGTAATCAAATCAATTAATAAAAAATTAGAAAAGTAAGAAGTTAATTCTTTACTTCATTTTGTTAAACATGATGCCAGTAGCAGTGTTTTGAAGCTCAATGAACAGGTATGCATCGACTCTTTAAAATTGTTATTCAACTATATTAAATTAGCTTTAAATTGTGGACAATTAATCAGTGGGATTCTAGAGATGATATTACAACTTATTGATTAAAACAACTAAATTAAATATATTGATAAATTATTGCAGAAAGTAAATTTGTACAATGATTTTAATATTTTTTTTAATTATGCTCGAATAATACATGTAAAATATTACCACTTACCACCCACGTGTTGCCCAAAGTAGAAAATGGCTTCCAATAGCGTTCAATGGCGCTTTCTTGGATGCCATGATCATCTTCCATATAGTTTTAACTGGTTTATTGAACTTATTGAGTTATTAGCTCTTCAGTAAATCTTCTAAAACGCTAAGTGTTACTGTTTCACTTTTTACAACACTATTTTGTTAGGTAAGATTTGAAATTTATTATTTTAAACGTTGCATTTGTAGTTGATTGCAGAAGACACGTGTTAATACTATCCGTGAAACTCGTGGGATTGCATTGTAATGGAAGGCTACCATGTGAAATGCGAGTAAAGATTAAGCTAGTTAACTTCTGTGTACGGCATTTTTGCTCAAGACGTGGTAACATTGAGGATATAAGTGTTCGTAAACGATCATTCAAGAAAATCATTCGCGCGACACCTGTATGTAACGCACGGCCGAAGCGGAACGTCTTAACCTCAAATAAAGGTTTCCCAGAGATTGTTAAACTGTCTCATTCAGATGATAGACGAAATGACAAGTGTACAACTATAGATTTATCTGAGAACAGTAGTAAAAACAATTATTTAGAAAGAATCCATGGGTTGGAGAAGGTAAAAAGGAGGGAACACTCTCAAATTGCAAGCGGTTTGGTTAATAATCGCTTTAGGTTCATCGACGAATGTAGAGGACAGTCGGATAAAGATAACTGTACAAGCACAGTTTTTATTAATAAGAGATTGAAACATCAAAGTTTAAAGAATGTTCACTTAAGAAATGCAACAGAAGAGGTACACGATGTTATTTCTGCACAAAGCGCGGTGGAAGGAAATTTGGGAAATGTTAACGTAATCCTCGAGTCAAATAAAAGTAGTATAAAACATGATAGTCTTACCTACAATAATTCTGATCATGGGAAATCAGAATTCACTAATAATGTGGAAAATAAGGAAAAGGAAAATATACTTTCAGATATGAATACATCGATAACTGGTACTTGTAAAAGTATAATTGATGGTATTAATGACTTAGAACAAAATGTAGAGCAAAGTAATGAATTCAACGAAGGAGGTCAGAGTAATGAGTCAAAAGCCTTTAATGACTCAAGACGAGTTAATAAGTTGAACATGCAAATGCTTTCTAAGAGACTATATGAAAGATTATTTAAAAATGCTGGCGAAGAAAGAAATAATTCAGAAGAAGAGATCAAGATTATAAAGCAAGACTTAAGAGATTTTGGTATAAATGTTGAGGATGCTACCTTTATGCCGGATGTAGATATCGATCTTCCTCCTCTAGAAGGTCAAAATGTGGAAGAACACTTTTATAACATAGGAAATGTACAGGTTAATCCATATTTAACAATATTAAATGAAATTATTAAAGATATTCCAAAGATGCCTACTGAGTGGTTATTTAGAGAAGGTTGGACAAGGTATACTGAAAATGGTGCCGAGAGTGTTGATTACCCTTCCGAAGATGGATTATTTTTTGATGTCGAAGTATGTAATCGAGAAGGACCATTACCGACACTAGCAACAGCTGTTAGTCGAAATGCATGGTATGGCTGGGTTTCAAAATCTTTGGCGAAGGGCTCGAGCTCAAGTATAAAAAGTAATTTATTTACAAATGATATGTTGATACCTTTGGAGAGTGCTTTAGATGATAATGGTAAAAAGTTGAATGACTTTCAGAAGAAGCCAAAGATTGTAGTAGGACATAATGTATCTTATGATCGAATTCGTATAAAGGAGCAATATTGGCTCAACTGTACAGGTACACGATTTGTTGATACTATGTCATTACATATTTGTGTGAGTGGGATTAATAGTTATCAAAGAGCTGTACTTAAATCTGATGATGAAACAGCTGATGATGAACAATGGCGTGGATATACTTCTTTGAACAGTTTACTAGAAGTTTATAAACTCTACTGTAATCAGGAGATTGATAAAAAATCAAGAGATGTGTTTATCGAGGGATCTCTGTCGGATGTCCGAGAGCAATACAATGATCTGATGACATATTGTGCTTCTGACGTGTTAGCTACGCATGACATTCTTAAAAATTTATTTCCTCTTTTCCGAAAAAGGTTTCCTCACCCGGTAACTTTAGCTGGAATGTTGGAACTGGGCTTAGCTTATCTTCCAATCAATTCAAATTGGCAACGATATTTAGAGGAATCTCAGTCAACATATGAGGATTTAAACTATGAAGCAAAAGTCAGCTTGTCTAGAAGAGCAGATGAGGTTTGTAGATTAATGCATAATGAGAATTTTAGGGAAGATTTGTGGATGTGGGACCAAGATTGGAACACACAGAGGTTAAAAATTAAAGCTACTTTAACGAAAGCTCAACGACTTCAAATTGAAAATGAAAACGCTAATCGCGAGAGGGCACTATCTGATTTTGAGAGCTATGCAACCAGTGACGAAGAAGAGGAAGATCCATTAGAGAAAAAGTTCTCCTATTTAAATGATATTAAGTACCGTTTACCTGTTAAGATGCCACATATGCCAGGATATCCAAATTGGTATAGAAAATTATGCCCCAAAGAAAGTGATGAAAATTGGGAACCCGGTCCTCAAAATATAACTACTTCGATGCAGATTGCACCAAAGTTGTTAAATCTTACTTGGGAAAATTATCCTCTACATTACATACGGGAACATGGGTGGGGATTTCTTGTCCCTTATGCAAACGATCCCGATATCGTGGAAACAAAGTTACCACTTGTAAAACTTTTGGCTCAATGCCCTCTACCAAAACTTAATACAAACGGAAATGATGTAGATTACGCAATGGCAACTCTGCGCCAAGATGTGCAAGATGATTTAAGCAAAACTCAATTCTGGCACAGTAAAAAGAAGAAAAAATTTGATATACAAAGCTTGTACAAGGGAACTGGTATTTGGTGTAACGTCGACATAGACAATTGCTGTTGGTTTTTTAAGCTGCCTCATAAAGATGGTGCATCCCGTAAGGTCGGTAACCCTTTGGCCAAAGATTTTCTGAACAAATTTTCAGAAAACGTTTTAGCAGGTTTAGATGCCAGTGCTTCCAAAGTTTTAAGAATTGCTCGGAATGTATCATATTGGAGGAATAATCGAGATCGAATCTCGTCACAAGTGGTGGTGTGGCTTAGTGGCAAGCAAGGCGGGAATACGTTGAAAAGGGATAAGAAACAAGCTCTGTGTGGAGCGATCATACCTCAGGTGATCGTTTCAGGAACCTTAACCCGCAGAGCAGTGGAGCCAACCTGGATGACTGCTTCAAATGCTTCTGCAGAAAGGGTAGGCTCTGAGCTCCGAGCAATGATTCAAGCACCACTGGGATATAACATTGTTGGTGCCGATGTAGACAGTCAGGAGCTATGGATTGCTTCCGTAATTGGTGATGCTCACCGAGCCAGACTTCACGGAGCTACTCCTTTTGGTTGGATGACATTGATTGGGAACAAATCAAATGGTACGGACATGCACAGCATGACAGCCAAAGCTGTTGGAATATCTAGAGACCATGCCAAAATAATAAACTATGCAAGAATCTACGGTGCTGGTCAGAAATTTGCCGAGAGACTGTTGAAGCAGTTCAATCCATCTATGACGGACAGTGAAGCAATGTCCAAGTCTCGCAAAATGTTCACTCTTACAAAGGGTAAGAAAATGTACAAACTCAAATCTGAGTATTCCGATTGTGATCTCGAGGATCGATATTATTCCAATTATGAAGCATTAAAAATCTCTAAATTACATGGGAAGACCGTGAACGAGATGTTTGGGAAGGGCCAATGGATCGGTGGATCAGAATCTGCTATGTTTAATAGACTCGAGGAAATTGCTGGACAATTGGAACCTGTCACTCCGTTTTTAAATGCGCACTTGAGCAGGGCTCTTGCAGGATCTGGAAAGGATGAGGACAAATTCTTGCCTACCAAGGTGAACTGGGTTGTTCAGAGTGGAGCTGTGGACTTTCTTCATTTAATGTTAGTTTGTATGAGGTGGCTCATGAAGGACAACGCTCGATTTTGCCTGTCATTTCACGATGAGATTCGTTACCTCGTACCATCAAGGCATAAATATACCGCAGCATTGGCAATGCATACAACTAATCTTATGACAAGGTCTTTTTGTGCTTCAAGACTGGGTGTAAAGGATTTGCCTATGTCGGTAGCATTCTTTGTATCCGTTGAAGTGGATACGGTTCTCAGAAAAGAATCTGCTCATGATTGTAAGACACCGTCAAATCCTCATGGCTTGGAGAAGGGGTATGGAATACCAGTTGGAGAGAGCTTAAATATATGGAAGGCTCTAGAAAAATCTGGAGGGTCTTTAGGCTTGTGGCATGGAACTAAATCAAGGAAGAAGCGTGAATGTTCTACTGTTAAGTAAACCGAAGATGTTTTCAATTTTTCAAGAGTGCTCGTTTGTTGATTTTAATGAAAAAGAATTGGCAATTCATTTATATTTTCTTCATGGCTGTTTAAAATACGAAACGTACTCTTGGTGACTGTAAATGTATAAGTCTGGTGACAAGGTGCTATAGTGAGCGATTGTTTACGAAATATCTTATGCCAGTAGTATTTTTCATTCTTTTTGAGGAAAATACTGTTGTCACGAAAAGTGAAAAGAAAACGTGAAGTGTGCAAGAATCGAATCGAATGTGGAATTAGTTAAAAAAAGTAAAATGGTTTAGTTTAAGAGAAAAAGTGAAATGTAGGATTGCGATGCAGATTTAAATTGGGAAAAAAAAGAACATGAAAATCTGATGAATTAATTAATTAATTTTTTTCTTTCCTCGTGATGATTATTTTACCAAAGAACATGGAAAATTACACAATCTTTGCGTTCATATTGAGTTTATGTTTTCTGATACAACGAATCAGTGATATCAAAAATACGTGTTGTTTCATTTCTCTCAGGACAGTTGGTCTCGGGTTAACGTTCATAGTTCCTGTTCAAAATGTCAAAAGCTACAAAGCGTAAGCATGTAATGAAAGAGGTGGAAGAAGACATGAATGTCCCCACTGAAACACAGACAATAGTCCAAATACTCGAGTCAAGAGGGAACAATCTCCATGAAGTTACTGACTTCAGCGGCGAACGTTACTTGGTTTCAATGCCCACGAAATTTCGCAAGAATATCTGGATCAAAAGAGGAGATTATGTGCTGGTGGAACCAATATCGGAAGGTGATAAAGTTAAAGCTGAAATAGTCCGAATATTGACGCGGGTATGGTTTTCATTTAACATCATTTATTATAGAAAACGTATATTAATCTTAAATTTTTCATTCCACTTGTAATTGGAAAGATCATGAAATATTCCAATATTTTTCAGAATCATATAAAGTACTACCGTTCGCAGAATTGTTGGCCGAAGGAATTTTCGGAAAAACAGGAAAAGGAAAAAGAGAAGGAAGATGACGATCTTTTTGTAAACCCCAACAGAAGACCTCAAAATCACGACACTACGGAAACCGAGAGCGACAGCAGTTCGGATACGTCGGATTCCGATTAACAATCGATTATAATCATAGACGCATACGTAATATTTATCTGTCCAAGTGCCCCTTTGCCAGGAACGTAAGACCGCTGAACTCTTGTTCGTGTAATTAAAGTGTAAATATTTTTCAAGTAAATTTTTGCCAAGTATCTTTTTTCTCGCAATTTTGTATCAACTACTAGTATTTATTCAACGTCGATAATAGTGTAATAACGACTTAGGGCATATTCACTTACTAACACGATGCTATGATATCGTGTAATTCTGTGAGACAAAGTATACTTATCATTGAATAACGAGCACACCCCGTGATTGGTTGTCTACACATGTTCCTTTGCGACAAAATGGATGTAAAGACATGACAAGGGACTTTGATACTGACCAGGTCGATACCGAATTGATTGGTATAAATTTACAATGCACTTAAGATCCAAACGATAAATAATTGAATAAACGTATTTTTATATTTCACTTTTACCGACCAACATTCAGTTAACTCCTGGTAGGCCATGCTTTTCAACATTTTTGGAATGATGGATCCTAGACACACGAAAAGAAAGCCCATTAAAGTAAAAATCAATTCTGTACATGATTTATTCTTAACAATTATAACATAGTTTCGATACATTTAACATGATGTTTCGGGCTGTTTAGTTCACTGAATTTCCGTACGCGTATAGCGCCAGATGCGCGTCAAAGAAGCGATTCTTATTTCAAGGAATGAGCTGTTTTTGTATTTGATAGGAAGTGGTTTTCAATCGGTAAAACTTTTTAAAATTCCAATACAGCATTTTTATTGTTTCAAATACGAATATAATTTTGAATGTACGAATGTAATTTTAGTCGTCACCCTGATTATGAGATACCATTCTTAACTTCTCTGAAACAACATGCTTAGGGAATAAACAATTATTTCACAAGGTATATTAAGTTTCGTTTTAAACTTAAGATATGTAATTACTTCCTATTAATTGTTATTATCAACAACTGTTAATAAATAGTACCTAAGGGTTACAAAATGTGCGAAAGCACGCCAAAACGAGTGAAAAGAAAAACATCAAACTTCCTGTTTTTCGGAAATTAGACTACCAGTTATTTAAAAACACTGGAAAATGTTTTATGCAACCCCGGTTGATGTCAAAAGCATTTTATTTAACATATTTATTCTGTTTTAAGGGAATCCTCGTCCATGCTATTATACATACAAGATATGTTATCTGTTCACGCAGCGCGGAATGCAACAGAATATAGCAGGAATGTATCAAGAGGATAACTGAAATAGTTTGAAACGTCCTGGAATATAACGATTCGGCGATATCGTGTCATGCAATTTCAGTAAATTGAACCAATGCAGTAAAACGTCGAAGAAGCCAGTTTCTAGAAAAGCCATTTCTCCAGTCTATTGAGGAAATCGTTGGTATCTCCTCTTAAATTTTCAAGAAGAGACATCTAGGTGGTTTCCTTAGAAACAGCCGCGGCATCATTTCTGAGCTCACTCGTCTATGAAATTGAAACGAAACGTTGAACGATGCCAGAACAAGTTTAATGTCAGAGATTCATGCACGGAAAAAAAAGAGATCTGTTAAACTTGCAGGAAAAAAAAATGTGTAAAACGTACAGATTTTAACTATTGAAATAGACAGCAGATTATAACTGTTAGCGTTAGGGTAAATATTTTGTTATTTAAAATTCCTAAAGATTACAGATGAGAATTTGTAAATATTATGGATAAGTAACTATAAAGAATACAACTTAATACCCGAAAAAATAACAGAAAAATATCTGTGAAAGTAACAGGTAATTTTTGTATAAGTTGCGGGTAAAATTCTGTAATAGTTACAACTTAATACCCGAAAAAATAACAATATCTATCTTTTATTATTATCAATGTAGGTTCTATTGAAAGTTGATCTCAAAAAGTACTATAGATCTAGCATGAGGACGGAAAAGAAAGAAATCATGATTGAAAGCTGTACATGTTTTTGGTCTCCTTTCGGCGATATTAGAATCAAGATAAAGCGATACACAACGAAGTGATCCTATGTGTTAATTAGGTTTCGTTGTAATTTAATTTTTACTCAAGACGATGGTGATGATCACTTTTTAAGACGCTTAAACACTCCTATATCGATATCTCATTTTTTTGTATTTGTACTTATGTTATATCCGTTTTTTTTCGAATAATTATCAGTTTTTCAGAAGCCTCGGAACTTCGTTTGCTACGTGCAGTTCTTCTGAACTTCTTGAAGATTCTCATGACCACAGCGGATCAGTTGTTTACAACACAGTGGAAACGCCATAAAGTTTTAAAATGCAAATACACTGGAGATTCGAGAGAACTTGATAATTCACAGTAGCTTTGACCTGTCTGCTTCATTCAGGCAAACGGTTTAATTATTCCCAGGACTGCAAGAAAAAGTTCCAGGTTACTGCTGTTGAGGAAAGGATAGTTTCTTCGTAGGAGCAGGGATAGAAAAGTAACCCCATACTTTTTCTGGAGTTACGTTGAAATACCATTCTTTTTGAAATAATTTCTAATAGCTGACGTTTGAACGTGGAGTACAGTCACAGCCAACTTTATGATCATACAGGATATTTTTATTAACATCGAAAGAGCTGATTCAGTCAAATTATCCGAATGAAAAAACGTTTCCGACAAGTTCATAGACCTCGACTGAGCGCCACGTCTCTTTACTGTAAACATCACTCTACCAGGCATTTAATGTTTTTTTTTCCCATCGACCAATGCTATTAATTTCGTTTCCTTAAATAATTTTAAGATTGGCGTGTTATTCAAGTTTCCGAAGCAAACGAATGTATTTCTTATGTATGTAGTGACTTCGGATTAAGAAAAACTGTGAAACGTCTAGTACCTGTTGGGTATGATGGGTCTTTATTCGGTCATTAACACGGACATAAGTTCATCGGATTCAGGGGTAGATGTTGCCCGCGTTAGCAATGAACATTGGTGTTTATTCTTGTAAAATCACAGAGAAATTTGAATTTTCAAGGAACCTAGGAATTTTTCATTGCCATTCATTTAGTCCCTGTAACTTGCAGGAGTGGGTATATTTCGACGCTGTTGTTCCCCGAAGATGAACGCCTTCTCTAACTAAACCTAGATATCAGTCTTGTGACGACTCGGAAGATTGTACCTCTGCGTGGCTTCGACTTCATTTAGAAGAAGGGATCAAACGACAGATACTCATCGTTCGCGACGGATCTTTACTCGCTACAGACTCGAAAGTGAATTCATGAGATACAAAAAAGAAACATTACCCACGTTAACGATTATCAGCGTCGATTAATCACCTCTAAATCACCTTCCTAGATTTGTTGACTAATTACAACGTAGGGACAACGAGGTGCGATGTTCTACATGTGTGTGACCGTGTAACAGTACATTACGAAAACCAAGAAATATGTACGCGACATGTTTTGGATAGGAACGGTAAAGGTCCTAGAAAGTTGAGGAAATATTTGTAAAAATGGTTACTATTTGTCGCAAGGAAAAGTTGACTATTAATTTAGTGGAAAGAAACTGTATTTAGCGCTGATTAAGCGGAAGTGAATTATTAAATGCAGCATTTCGGTTCCGTAAGATTGTTGGATTTTAAGTTCCAGGACGTACCTTGAAATTGCTTTGGAATAATTATCCGTAGGGAATAATACTATCAGTGTTTTGGATACACGGTAAGGATGAGTGCGGAAGAAAGCGAGGAAAAGGATTTTTGGGATATTTTGGGTCTGACCAACCTCACAGAGGAGGAGTACCTCGCCAGGGTTTTGGGACCGAAATATTTACCGACGAAGATGGTGATACCATTGACTCTGGTCTATGTAATTATTTTTGTGACTGGGGTGGTTGGTAACATTGCCACTTGCACGGTCATTATAAAAAATTCCTCGATGCAAAGCGCCACTAATTACTACCTCTTCAGCCTGGCCATTTCGGATCTTACTCTACTAATTCTTGGTGAGTGATTTAATTTTTCTTCCTAAGACCACCAATTCATGTACTACAATTTTTTATTCCTTTCTTTTAACAATTCTTTTCGAGGCTTAGATTATCTAATAGAACACTCTGACCTCCGAAAATTCCTTTAAAGGGAGACAGGATAAATATAATGCAAATAGTTCACTTTTAAAGCGTGTGGCTCTTTAGAATTATTACGACACAATTTCAAGAATAACTGGATCTTAGTTTTTCTTTGGAGAGGATTTATTGTGTCAGTGCTCGCTCTTGATCGCAATTTCGGGTATTTACCTTTACACCCTTCAAACAAGATTTATTTATTATTTGTAAGCGTGTATCATTGTACGGAAAATCAAAAATTCAGCGACTAATCAACCACATTATTTAGTCTAAGTACAATCATTTCCAGAAACGCTACATTTGTCGATAAGAAATTTTTCCAACTGTTATTAAGATCTAATTAAAATTTAACAGAACATCTGTTCGTCATATATATATTTATTAACGTTAATAAAATTAATTCTTTCTGTTAACGTTATGAAGGTCTCGTTTATCCGTGATTCTGTTTCCTGAGAATAAGCAAAGAGTAAATTAAATTCGGGTTTGTACGCTTAGTGTTCCTTTTGGAATTTTTTCTACTGACACGACGTAGCACTTACAATTAGTGGGTTAAGGACCTTTTCAGTTGAAAAGAAAAAAGGAACTCTGCATTACATTTTCCGAAGTACCCTCTAGAATAATCGAGTTTCCTCGTACATCTCTCCACTCGCCAATTCTCGGCGATCCTTCATTTTTCTCAAGATATGAGCTACACGTCGTAGGATCAGGAGAATGGATGACAAGGCAAAGGGATGGTTGGAAAGTATCAGAGAAAAGGAGGAGAGTAGCTCGGTACTGAGAAAGATCAAATGCAGGGAGAAAAAGCTAGTGGACCTTTAAAGGATTGTCCTGGACGCTTCATGAATTTCAGATATCCGGAGAAAAAGATGTCCTGTAGCTTCCATTTTAACGAGATAAGAGCTTGAAATTAATCTAACACTCTGTGTACATACGCGATAGTTATCTCGTGGTAGAGAACAGTCTTATTGTTTGAGGGACGAAATGTCTCGGCGATTTGCGTCATTTCGAGGTCAACAGAGGGAGTCTGATGACGATGTGTATGCGAAGGGCTTAATTACTATTAAAATTCTTTCCACTCGGCTGAACACCTCTCTCTCTCTCTCCTACTCTCTCGGTTCTTTGTATTCCTGTCTTATTGAATTGACTCAATTTATCTGACACATTTTCTCTTTATTTTTTTTTATATTGAACTCTTGAATCTGAACTTATTGAATTTACTCAATTTATCTGACACACTTTCTCTTAATTTTTTTTATATTTAACTCTTGAATCTAAACTTATTGAATTTACTCTATTTATCTGACACACTTCCTCTTAATTTTTTCATATTAAACTCTTGAATCTAAACTTATTGACTTTACTCAATTTATTTCACACACTTTCTCTTAATTTTTTCATATTAAACTCTTGAATCTGAATTTATTGAATTTACTCAATTTATCTGACACATTTTGTCTTAATTTTTTTATATTGAACTCTTCAATCTGAACTTATTGAATTTACTCAATTTATCTACACTTTCTCTTAATTTTTTTTATATTTAACTCTTGAATCTAAACTTATTGAATTTTCTCAATTTCTTTCACACACTTTCTCTTAATTTTTTCATATTAAACTCTTCAATCTGAACTTATTTAATTTACTTAATTTATTTGACACATTTTCTCTTAATTTTTTCATATTAAACTCTTGTTCATAGGGGAACTGAACGCGTTTTTATTTCATTAGGTTTATCATGTATACGTGAAATTAATTATTTTGGCGGAAAAGTTATGTTCGTTTTCTGATCTGTTCTACCTTTATTGTATTTCCGCGTTTGTATTTTTCTTTTGCACGTTCCTTCACATGTATCGACGTTACAGTGTGGAAGATTATTTTTGCAAAAACGCGGTGCTAACTGAATAAGCACATATAAATTGATAAGTTCCTTTGGGAAATTGAATTTAAGGTTATTAAATCGATCTTTCAATACTGTAGAATGCGTTTATTGTGAAATGTTTTGCAAAATAATAGTAAATAGTATATTTATAGTTTTTATTTTTAGATCATATAGACGCATTTATGCAGACGTTCCATTGCGATTATTACTATTAAACTACTTATTTTTGTTATTAAACTATTTTCTAAACCCTCCAGTGAGAAAAGTGTAATAAAACATAATTAAAATTCCATAATTACCAATTCAGATTATTCAGTTTACAATGTACGCGTTCCATTAGCCAGGCAGGTATTTAGAGGTTGTCCAGAGTGAACGATCGACATCCGGGATTAATATTGAAATCACTAGGTATTATAACGTTAAGTAATTGTCTAAACGAATATAGGACACTCAGCTTTGGAATATGACGTATAAATAGATATAACGGCTAAAGCCTTAAAAAAAACATTGATAATCTTGTAATTTCTACAAGCAATCTCGTATAGATATTCTGTACCTCGATTTTTATGTTTTCAATTATTTATATTAAACAATTTTTCAGAAATAGAAAGTAGCCTTTAGTGCCGTACACACCGAAAAGTGCGTGATTTAACTTGACAAAAATATGTTTTATTTATAACAATATGTTAAGTTGTAAATTTATACGTCTATAGTCCATATGGTAACTGAGGAGACCATGTATATAAGAATTGTTTTAAATTGAAAAGTAATTACTCATTTGTCGTTTTCACCCCATAAATAAAACAGATTTGTTCTTACATTTAACAGCGAAGATAAGGAAATGTATTTCACCCTTTGCGGAACAAGTAATACACAATTGTATTCACCCACAATGAAAGCATGACGTAAGGCATTGTGTACTTTCTATTTGAAAGGCGAAAAATCGTTCATGCACTTCAGGTGCTGCTTTATTGTAAGCTTTCGATTCTAAGTCATTGGAGTGTTCTGCTGTAGTTCTTTTGGGTTCGAAAGGAATTGATAGTGCAGAGAAGTCATAAAGTACTGGGTAGAAGTCGGACGTCTCATTATTGAAAATATTATATTTCAAACGTCTTGTCCAATTTGAAATGAGAAATAAATTGCACATTATGTACTTATAAACTGGTAGATGAAGTTCCTACAAGGAAGGTTTCTTTTTGGGGTCTTCCTCCGATTTTCTTTAATTTCTTATGTTACATTGAAATGAAATTTAAGAGACGCGTGATTTTTTTAATTGCTGTGAACTGATGTTAAGGGGCGAAATTATATTAAAAACCGACTATGTTAAGTATTTAAAACATTTATTCTGTTCATACTCTAGTTTTGTATTTCTTACTTCAGTGCTTAACTTAACTAATGTATAAAAAAAATTGGTATGCCTGCCAACGTATTTGAACATTTGTACTTGAGTCGAAATTATTGCTTAAAAATTCTAAATTAAATCCAAGTGCTCTATGATTTTTCTTACATTGTACAGTTATTTCCCTTTTGGGATCTCTACTTTTTAATCCAGGTCTTTTTAATAACGTTCTGTTTTCTAAATCCGTGGTAAGGGATAGTTTTCAAGTGTCGCCTGATATCAGATTCTGATTGAATTTCCGTAGAGAAAGTTGAGCCGTGTATCGGTGGTCTCAAAAGGTCCTTACATTAAACGAGCGATCATGTATCTTAAGATCAAAATACTGCGATATAGGTAATGTGCCTAGAAAAACAGTTTCAAATTTATACGAAAGTGATGTATCACAAACTTCTTCAGACTTCTTTTCAGATTTCGATGAAGTTGGTTTAGAGTCTAATGGAGGACGTTATGTCGTTTCGTCCTTTTTTTACATTTTACATCTTTTAATTAGCGCGTTAGAATTCTAAAGAAAATGAACCTCACAAGAGGAAATTAGACTACCCTCGAAGGAGTAATAAAAGTACTTTTTCATTTTAAAGAAGTTGGAGATAGGGTAGGAAGCAAGAAAACAATGCTATTCCTTTATTGTGAATTTATTTTAAAGCGTCCTTAAAATGACAACGAACGTTCTTGTTAATTTCTTCTTTACTTCTTGCCGATTTATTTTCAGGTTTGCCAAACGAGTTGAGTATTTTCTGGCAGCAGTATCCATGGGTCCTGGGTGTCAGTCTGTGCAAGATACGAGCATATGTGTCGGAGATGTAAGGAACTAGCCACGTGGCTTTAACACTATTTCTACCAGGATTTAGTGTATACCTATTTCGACCAAAAGTTGTCTCATATAGATCCATGATGAGCTGGAGGAAAATTATACCGCTAAATAAATTTAACAATTAATATATGAAAACTCATAACATTAATTGAGAAAAAATTCTTAAACTTTGAAAATAAATTCAAGTTAAAAATTTTAAAGGTCTCTTTTGACGCCTTTGGTAGAAATAGTGTTAACGATTAATCTCGGTTCATTTTGTGACGACTTAATTGGTGAAGCTTTTTCTCCCCCGTGTATTTAATTCGTAAATTCACAGGTCTTCTTACGTCTCGGTGTTGACGATAGTAGCTTTCTCTATGGAACGATATCTGGCAATATGTCATCCTCTTCGAGTTTATGCAGTTAGCGGAATGAAGAGGCCCGTCCGATTCATTCTCGCCGCTTGGACAATTGCTCTCGTTGCAGCGATTCCATTTGCGGTGTACACCGCCGTTAATTACGTGGAATATCCCCCAGGTTTGAATATTTCATACTTTTACATCAGGCCCACTAGAGAGTACCCTAGTACCATAGAATAATTTCTAAATATTTCTTTGTAATCTTTGCTAAATATCTCAAGCGACAAACTTTTTAAGATTTCTTATAGATTTCATTCGAAGATATTTAAAATATTTCTTGAAAATCTCAATGACATATTGAGTTTCAATAATTTATAAACAGAGAAATTATATTTTTTTAACTTATTAACATAATGAAAATAAATTTTGTACTTCACGACTATTATCGGACATTTCATTTGGTATGAAAAAACACGAGAAATATTTCTAATATTTTCGTTCCGCTATTTCATTATGGGAGCAAAACGTGTGATTTAGGGATAATATTCTAAAGTAAATGTTTTGCAAATATTTCATGTGTTGTATTTCATGTGTAATATTGCATGGTCACGTTTCATTATGTCTGCTAAATATTTAAAAAATGTACGATATTCGTTAAATATATAGAAAATATAGGACAAATATTTTGTGCTACTAGGGTAGATTCAGTAGGAACTAGGTATAATAGTAATAGGCGTATTTTCATAAGGCAGAGAGGTTCATAAAGCATCAATAAGTGTATTGAAATATCGCCTTTTTCAGAGACGGGCAATTATTCCGCCGATTCGGCGATTTGCGCAATGTTGCTGCCTGACATGCCCAACTTTCCACTCTACGAGCTCAGTTGCATCGTTTTTTTCCTATTGCCGATGTTGGTAATCCTCGTGGTGTACACGAGGATGGGTCTCATGATTTGGAGCAGTGCTCACTCTTCTCTAAACCCGGTGATCCAGGGCTCCGTACACCGGGATAACCGGCAGGTACAGTCGAGAAAGACCGTCGTCCGAATGCTAAGTAATTTCTTTGTCTTTAATATGTAGATACCTTCCGATCGATTGGTCAATTTTTGGGGGACGTGAAACATTTTATGTACATATTGCGTCCCTTCCAGGTGCGGTCGTCGTCATGTTCTTTGTTTGTTGGGCTCCATTCCACGCGCAAAGACTACTTTACGTTTATGCCCAGGATACCGATTATTATCCAGACCTTAACGAGTGGTTGTACATCTTGAGCGGGTGTCTGTACTACTTTAGCACCACTGTCAATCCGATCCTCTATAATCTCATGAGCAGCAGGTATCGCGATGCCTTCAAACGTACCCTGTGTTGTCGGACGAGGATCAGGACGAAATTGTGGTATCCCTTGGCCAGGGGAACCGCATACAGGTGCGAGCCCAACAAGAACAATGCTCGGTCGAGTCAAGTGCCACGAATCAGGTTCGGCTGCACAAAATGTTATATCAAATCAATTTTGCGCGTGGCTTTTGAAAGCTCTAGAGTATTTAATATGAATTGATGCAATTACTTGTTTGATAAGTGCCACTAATCAGGTTCGGCTGCACAAAATGTTAGATCAAATCAATTTTGCGCGTGGCTTTTGAAAGCTCTAGAGTATTTAATATGAATTGATGCAATTACTTGTTTGATAAGTGCCACTAATCAGGTTCGGCTGCACAAAATGTTAGATCAAATCAATTTTTCGCGTTTCTTTTAAAAGCTCTAGAGTATTTAATATGAATTGATGCAATTACTTATTTGATAAAGTGGCACAAATCAGGTTCGGCTGCACAAAATGTTATATCAAATCAATTTTTCGCGTTTCTTTTAAAAGCTCTAGAGTATTTAATATGAATGGATGTAATTATTTGTTTGATAAAGTGGCACGAATCAGGTTCGGCTACATAAAATGTTAGATCAATCAGGTTCGGCTGCATAAAACGTTACATCAAATCAATTTTTCGCGTTTCTTTTAAAAGCTCTAGAGTATTTAATATGAATGGATGCAATTACTTATTTGATAAAGTGCCAAGAATCAGGTTTGGCTGCATAAAACGTTATATCAAATCAATTTTTCGCGTTTCTTTTAAAAGCTGTAGAGTATTTAATATGAATAGATGCAATTACTTGTTTGATAAAGTGCCACGAATCAAGTTCGGCTGCATAAAACGTTACATCAAATCAATTTTTCGCGGTTTTTTTAAAAGCTCTAGAGTATTTAATAAGAATGGATGCAATTACTTATTTGATAAAGAATCGGTCTTTGACTCGATAAATTCTAATTGTACATAATTCTCTATCGTGTGCTCGTTAAGCTTTATTCGCGGTAATTTTCTGCAGATGATCTTGAATTCAGAAACTGTTATTTATATGTACAAAGGAAGTCTTATACCGTTTACATATACCGTCTTATACCTGATATTTTTAATTTCATTAAATGATTATGAAGCGATGACATGTTGGTGAGAAGACTACTTTTTTTTTTAATTTTTTTTTTTTCAGATATACCGTGGTCAGAGCCAAAGAGATACTTCGTCGCAGTACTCGGTGCGAAGAACAGAACGATGGAGATGCAAAGAATCCTGGAAACGGTCTCTTATCTGTTGAAATTACTACCAAAGTGGCAGAAGAACAAACTTCAAAGAGAAAACTACAGGTGGGTTATCAAAGCAGTAATGAAAGTTCGGTTTCCCGAAATAGGACGGAAGAATCGGTTTCCACAGCCAGTAGTGCTCTGTGATATTATTACGATAAATCAACGTTAAAAGAAAAATGTTAATTAAGTAATCATTAAGATTATGCCGTGGAATGTATATAATGCAATAAATATAATTTAATGACCGTTCGCTTTGTTTAAAAAGAAATGTACAATTAGTTGTATATAGTTGTAAAATAAATAAATGAATTAGTTCGTTAGAATATTTTCTGCATATTCTCTACATGCGTGATGCACAGGAAAGGCATCTGGACAATAATAAATATTTACATGTTACGTATTTTTACAGTTTACTTTTTTAATGCACGGTCGTGATTTTAATCCTGTGATTTTTATAAGTATCTGGGCGTTTTACGGAGTCCATTGATAAGACTACCCCAATGTGCCATAGTTAGATAGTCAGGGGTCCATCACATAAATAAATGGATATTTACAAATGTGCGGTGACTCGTGCCAAATTAAGGGACTCATAGAAAAGTTTGTTTCATTACATAATTTATAAATCCGTCTTGAAGTTCATACTTTTATGTGTCCAGTAAAATGTTCATAAATGAATACTATAAAATAAAACTTGTACAGGTAATTCCGTAGTATCCGTTCGATAATAAGAACTTCTGCGGTGCCCATCATAATCCGGACAGTTTTCATCTTAAATAAAGAATATAAATATCGTCTTAAAATACATAAATAAAGGGAATTTTTCGTCATAGCTAATTTTTAAAATGTTGATTTTTGCCGAGAGTGGCGGCCACTTGAAGATGTACTGAAAGTGTATTTGATGTTAAACGCATCCGAGTTCTTTACGAGTGGGTCAGTGTTGATGCTTGAAGACAAACGAATTATTACGTACTCTATTGTTTAGGTCCATGTAAGGCATCATTCGGACCAAGCATGTTAACCTATCATGGACCATCGTTTCTTCAAAATTGTGTATTTTCCTTGATCCACGAGGGATGGTAAAGACAAGTGGGGATGTTCGGCGAGACAACGTCTAAATGTTGCCCGAGTATTCACAAGGATATCTGATAGGTGTGTTAAAAAAAAGGATGGAGCGTTAACATTTTCATTACATTTCATACGTCACAAATTATTCATATCGAAGTTCTAACCACTCAAACCGGGCTACAGTTGTACGTATTTTCAGAGACTACAGCAACTGCTTCTGGACTGAGGTCATTTTCACGGGTAATTAGAAAATCGTTTATATAAACATTTGCAAGCTTCTTTATTGTCCATGCATTTTTTTTCGTAATACAATACGAAAAGGAGAATGGAGTATAAATGAATAAATCAGTAAAATGAACGCAGTAGTTGACATAATCAGATATTATTTAATCCATCGCAATATGCGAGTGCTCCTTTATTACATACATGTGGCAGGTACAACCAGAGAAATATTTATTCGTACTAACTAGACATTGCTTTGCACATTAACATAATTTATATTCATTTCACTTAAGGACATAGATCCTTGGAAGTATGTCTTTAATGGTAGTAAATGGAGTTTTTATCTCTAAAATTGAATATTTATTAATTACTTTTGCTAACCGAACCGTGTATCTAAATCGTATTATCTGTTCAATAAGTTCCCAGGGAACAATGTTATATAACTGTTGGGTAAACGTTAAGTTTTCGAAACTAACATGTTATGTAACATGTTATATTAATGTTATAATTTCATACATTTAATACAAAAGATCACGCAATTTTATCCAAAATTATATAATATTTTTTATTTTTTATTATTATTTGGTACTTGACAATAGTTAAATATTAAATGACATTTGACAATGAATTATGACAATGACGATGACGATGATGTAATAAAATAAATGACAGTTAGCACCAATGTAGTTCTCTTTTGTTACAAATATGTGCTGCATATACACAGTAATATCAGGACAGTAACATAATGTAAGATGAGAGTAACAAAATTATGCCACATTTATATAGATATGATAGTAACAAATGTCATGTAACTACTTAGCTCTATGTTAACTGTTAGGTTATTACAATGTAACAAACGTTATGTTATTTGTTAGTTTTAAGTTACTTAACAGTTAGGTTCTGTGTTCAATGAGTCTCTGCGCAAATGGAAATGTAGAATAAAATGGCTATTAATCTCGGGGAAATTTGTGGAAATTCTGCCTCTTCTGCACCTAGGTGTTCCTGAGTTTACTCCTCTTTGGCACGATTCTTCTTGTCGTCGACTCCTATCGGCAACCGGCAGAGAACGATTCCACACCTCGTGGTATCAGCTTGTGTCACTATCAGGTACACTTGCCGCTGGAAGCTGTGGAAGCTTCGAAGGCTTTGAGAACGTCTCGCACCGGGGTAAAGGATTTTCGACACAATAGCGAGCTTCTGCGGTTCTTCATCGTAGACGAGGAACGTCTTTCACGCTTGAAATTCCGCCCACCGGAAGTTGGATCAACGTCCCGAGACTTGGAGGAAGCTCTTCAGGAAACGTCGTCGCACCCACCCCGGAGGAAGATTGCGCGCTCTCGTAAGAAACTCGGAGATTCGGTTAAGATATCTGACATTTTTACGCATATCGGCCAAATACGAAAGACGAGTGCTCCAAGGAATAGCAGAGATTCCTGGGATTTACTGCGACGAGTGTTTACACAACGCGAGCATCGACGAAGCGTTTTGTAAACCGGAGCAAGATACCGTGATAAAATATTACATGGATTGTCATTCAGTACATTTATCAAAAGCAGCCGTCGTATCACCGGTTTATTTAATGGGTAAAATTTTAATTGCGTGGTGTATGGAATGATAGTTGGAATATATATGTATATGTATATATATATTATTTAATCATTTGAAATATATTTTCTGCAGAGATACGGTGTTTTGTAAACCGGAGCAAGATACCGTGATAAAATATTACATGGATTGTCATTCAGTACATTTATCACAAGCAGCCGTCGTATCACCGTTTTATTTAATGCGTCAAATTTAATCATTTTTTAAGGTTTTAACGTAGCAGAATTTACGCAGATATTCATCTTTATACAATTATATTATAATCTTTAGGAAGCGTCGCAATAAATTATGTTTCATTACACAATTATTTTTGAAAGTAGAGTAGTACTTAGGAGTAGAACTATAAATTTTATGAGCTACCTTTTTGACGAGCATTGCACACTGTTGAAACCAAAGAAATTTCTTAAACATTCACTAGGCTTCCTTTTGGAATAAAGGACATACAAATACTTCGCAAAGTAGCATTACAAGTATTGTAAACCAAAGAAATTTCTTAAATGTTCACTAGGCTTCCTTGTGGATTAAAGGACCTACAAATATTTCGCAAAGTAATATTACAAGTTTTGTAAACCAAAGAAATTTCTTAAACAATCACTAGGCTTCCTTTTGGATTAAAGGGCCTACAAACTCTTCGCAAAGTAGCATTACAAGTATTGTAAACCAAAGAAATTTCTCAAACAATCAGTAGGCTTCCTTTTGGATTAAAGGACCTACAAACTCTTCGCAAAGTATCATTACAAGTATTGTAAACCAAAGAAATATCTCAAACAATCACTAGGCTTCCTTTTGGATTAAAGGACGTACAAACACTTCGGAAAGTAGCATTACAAGTATTGTAAACCAAAGAAATTTCTCAAACAATCAGTAGGCTTCCTTTTGGATTAAAGGACCTACAAATACTTCGCAAAGTATCATTACAAGTATTGTAAACCAAAGAAATATCTCAAACAATCACTAGGCTTCCTTTTGGATTAAAGGGTCTACAAACTCTTCGCAAAGTAGCATTACAAGTATTGTAAACCAAAGAAATTTCTCAAACAATCACTAGGCTTTCTTTTGGATTAAAGCACCTACAAACACTTCGCAAAGTAGCGTTACAAGTTTTGTAAACGTTCCGGTAGTGAATCTTCCTTTGTGAACGCGAAGGAAGCTATAAAACGTCGGGATAAATCTCGATCTCGTCCTGTTCGGATAATCGGATGACTAAATTGGGAATCCATGAGATCGTGTTTGTATCGTATAGCTCGATCGATTCTCGGATGTCGGTGTATTCATGACCCTTCGACTCCATTCGGATTATCGTGTTCTAATAAAGGGCACGAAACGAGATCGGAACGATCGTCCCAGGCTTTTCCACGGGTCTTGCATGCGAGAGATGCGAGAAAACTTGCAGTGAGAGAAAGGGAGGATTTAAATCGAGGCAAAAGCGCGAGGATAGGAACGATTCGACGAAGTCGTACGCGTCAGAAGTTCGATGCCGTAAATCGTACTTTCGTACCTTAAAGCGGATGGTGCTGCACGTACCTTACTGCGGATTTTGATAAGCGCCGAAGCACACGCTGATTCGAGCGAAAAGTACTTTAGGACCAAGGCAAACCTGTGGAGAAATACGATTCCTCTTATCGGTAGAATCGAGGAGCAACAAAGCCCTTCGTTCCCTTGGATTCAGCGATTAGGATACTTTATCCCTTACCACCCCGTGCACATTTTTTTTTTCTCGTTTCAACTCGTGTATGACAAACAACGTAGATACATGTCGCGGCGATCTAATGGTTTTGTTGTATCTGTTCCAATTAATTAGGAATTTTTTTAAAGTAATTTATTTCGCAAAAGCGGTACGTTCGAAGAATTGAAATATCGCAGTTTAGGAGAATATGTACATTGTAACGTTGCAACCCCATCTTTAGCGGACATTTGAAATATTTGCAAAATATTGACTTAAGAATATTATTTTCATAATATTTGTACATTATTAGTTCCATGTGTTTCTTACAGATATACAAAACATTTCGTTTCATTTTAATATAAGTATTTTTTTTTTAATATTATCTACTGAATACGTTATAAGCGTTTTAAAAATATTTAAAATCAAAATCACGTTTTGCTCCCATAATGAAATAGCGGAACGAAAATATTAGAAAAATTTCTCGTGTTTCATGCTACCAGAGGAAGTATCCGATAATAGTCGTGAAGTAAAACATGTATTTTTATTACATGTTCATAAATTAAAAAATATAATTTCTATATATGTTTATAAATTATTGAAACTAAATATGCCATTGAGATTTTCAACAAATGTTTCGGATATCTTCGAATGAAATCTGCAAGAAATCTTTAAAAATCTGTCGCTTGTGATATTTAGCAAAGATTAGAAAAAAATATCTAGAAATTATTCTGTGCTACTAGGGAAGCTACGATCGCCAATAGTTGCCAATAACTGCCGCAAAGAGTCACGCTGTTAAGGATTATGTCCCCATATATTTTAAACTGTCACTTTCGCCAAATTATACGAATCTATTTCACTCATGCCCGGGAGATTTTGTTCGATATCCGGTAGATAGGAGATGGTAACTTCACTTTTTCGCACCTTCTGCGCGTGTAAATCAGAAAGATATCACCCTCTTCTCCCGTTTACGCGTTGGAAGATGCGCGGAAGGATATGGCACGGATATAGGAAAGGAGAGTCCAGAAAATGTTCATTTTTATAAATAAATACCTCAACAATTATTACAAGAATCTCATGAAAACCAATACGGGAAATGTACCATTTAATTTAAACAACTCGTGGATCGTTTTCCATCAAGTCAAAAATCATAGAATATATGTATTCAACGTCTACAAATATCTTTCGCTGCACCTACTATCTTTTAATGCTTAAAATATACCAGTTTTATCGCTGTCAATATTAACACACATTGTCACTTGGAATTACTATGTATTACTCACTATTTCTACCAAAGATGTCAAAAGACACCTTTTAAAATTTTAACTTGGAATTATTTTCAAAGTATAATAATTTTTTTCTCAATTAATATTTTGAGTCTTCGTATAATAATTCTTAAATTTATTTAGCGGTATCATTTTCCTCCAGCTCATCAAAACCTTTTGGTCGGAATAGGTATACACAAAATCCTGGTAGAAATAGTGTTAACGAAATTAATCCTAGCTAATGGGGCAGTTTTAAACGGTCTACGACAAAGGTTTGCAACGGATAGGCTTCTGTAAATTTAGACTTTTCATTTTTCTCCGTTTTTGCAAAAAATTCTATGGGTGTATACGTACGAGAAGCTGTAATATTTATACCGAAGCGTTTACGCGGTCGAACGTTGACTTCCGCTGCTCGTATCGAGAGGTGAAGTTAAGCGTCGGCTGCGTGGAAGCCGGGATATGTGGTCGGTGAAATGCCAGGAGCTGTCGCGAAGGGTTGCTCCGCTAAGGGTCGTATCCCTGCCCTCACTCGTGCGCGGTCAGCCGAGCCGCGCGCTTCGCGAGTCGGCGGAGCTCTGCCCGTGCGATCGGTGTCGGAACTTGGATTGTTACCTTGCTAGTTTACTCTACATTGTTGTGGCCCATCGAAGTGAAAGTCCAAGAACGCGATAAAATACTATTTGCGAAAGATGTCACGTTACATTGAAATTTTCTACATTAAGTAGAAGTTGAAAGAGGTAGCCTGACATCTACGGGAGAACATTGCGGAAAGAATTAAAAAGAAAATTACCTATCGATAACCGATCAGCATGTAGTTGGGTGTTGTGCGAGGGCAGTTACCTTAATCGGAAAAACAGTAGTGCGAGTTTAGTTATATTTTGGAAATTTTTAAGGAAATTCATTAGCGATCTGCCTTTCCTTAAAATATGATTACGGTCACGTTATGTTAAATATCACTAAATCTAAGATTTGGGTGGAAATTGATGAGTTTGGATGCTTACCTGATAATTGAGAAAGAAAGTTACCGTGGCTCACGATAAGGATAATCAGCTGATAATGCGAGCTAGGAAGGAAGAGGCTCGACATATCGTTTGAAGGATTTGAGGCTTGCCGCAAAAGACACGTTAAGCCGAAAACATTTTACTGAATATTTTATCATCAAGGGAAATTATGGAAATTTTAACCGATGCCATTAATTGCGGAGGAAGCTGTTTAAGGAAATTCGTTAAAATATGATTACGGTCATATTATGTAAAATATCACTAATTCAGAGATTTGGGTGGAAATTGATAAGTTTGGATGCTCACCTGCTAACTGACAAAGAAAGTTACCGTGGCTCACGATAAGGACAATCAGCTGATAATGCGAGCTAGGAAGGGAGAGGCTCGACATATCATGTGAAGCATTTGCCGCAAAATACACGTTAAGCCGAAAACATTTTATCCAATATTTTATCACCAAGGCACAAACTTCAGATACGATTAACCGATTTGGATCGATGAAGAGGATCGATATTCGACCGATCCTGTTTTTGGAAGATCGACCGGCGGGAAAAGTTACCGAACAAGCTATTTGCAAATGATTGTCCTTCGGGTCGATTGCAAAGGATATCGCTATGGACCAGCTAGTTGGAGGTTAACTTACGCTATCTGATAAGATAGAAATAAAGTTTGAACGTGACTTGATTGTTCGAATCCGGTGATGGGGTCGCCGAATATTATCCCATTCTCTCCAGAGAATGTATCGGAGTACTTGAATCTAACTGAGGAGGAACACTTGTTTAAAGTTCTGGGACCCAAGCGCGACTCACTGGAATTTATCATCCCCATTACCCTCGCTTATGTCGCGATATTCGTCACAGGGGTCTTTGGCAACGTTATGACGTGCATCGTCATTACGACTAATCGTGAGATGCACACTGCCACTAATTATTACCTCTTCAGTTTGGCAGTCTCCGATCTTATGATGCTCGTTCTCGGTAAGGTTACAATACATTTGAGATCATACCTTTAGGGAAGGAGATTTTTACTGAGAAAGTGTTTAACGAGAATGTAAATCTGTACATTGTATAAAAGTTAAATAATTGGCGAGCATCTCTTTTTAGGAGAGGGTCACTTTTAGGTGTTTTACAACTTTTAGTTATTTTAAATTTAACCCTAGAATTAACAGATACGTTAGGAGGCGCATCCCTTGTAGCATAGAATAATTTCTAAAGATTTTTTTTGTAATCATTGCTAAATATCTCGAGCGACAGATTTATTAAGATTTCTTGTAGATTTCATTCGAAGAATTTATAAACATATATAGGTTATATTTTTTAATTTATGAACACTTTCTACTTATTTTCTGACATCCTGTAGATAACTTTCCATTGCCTCTATTAGGCATCTATACAGAGACATCTTTTAGTCTGCTATACTTGGCAAAATGTAATATTAATCATATTTTCGATCTCTTTGTCATGTCGAGATTACTTTTCAAGTGTCAACTTTTCCTCATCTTTACGAGAGATGCGATGTCTGAGCAATGAGTACGTTTCATTACTTGTTTTGGTTCCTTTTCGCGAAATAGGAAATAAAAATCATCATCCTGAATTTTTTTTTAAATTTCTGAATATTGTCTGTACACATGAAAATCACATAAATTATTAGAACAATCTCATCATAAGTTACACCATTGAACTAACTCGGTTAACTTCTCTAGTAGCACAAAATATTTGTCCTATATTTTCTATATATTTAATGAATATCCTACATTTTGTAAATATTTACCAGACATTTGAAATATTTGCAAAACGTTTACTTTAGAATNACATAAAAGTTGCTCGACGGTCTTAGACTGGAATGAAATATTTAGAAATTATTCTAGGCTACTAGGGTTGGTACATAAAAGTTGCTCGACGGTCTTAGACTATTAAATCTTACTTTAATAAGTTTCCACCTACGTGCCTCGTAACAAGCCCCATCATCCCGAAGAGATGTCGGCAGATTTCATCTTTCAAGTGATACTTTAGGATGCTACTATTCCTCTGGCAGTGCAATTGAAAGCAACTGTTTCCCGAGTCGGCCGTATACAGTGAAATTTCTTAGAGCATCTCCGCGTTAAGATCCGAAGTAACGATATCAACTTTTATCAATTTATCAACAAAATAGGGGTATTGTCGGTGGTGATTTCGACTCCTGCTATGTCGGTTTGTTTCCAATCAAGCTTTGTAGCATCAGCTGGTCCGATCATTCGGAAGCTGCAATTACTTTCTACACTGCAGCTTTAAAGCAACGCTCTCGTACATACGTACACAGATAGAGCTTGAAGTGCAGAAATGCGTTTGGTGTTCAAACGCGCGTATCCTCCCCATTCGCTAGTTGATATCCCCCTGATATATTAACGTATTCTGTGCATGGCCCGAACCCACTGTCCATTGTTTAGCCATACCATGTAATGAAGCCAAAAAGAAAAAGCAACTAAATAACTTCGATCTCCTGCCTTAACAAATATTTCATAGTTAGACCCTTTGAATTGCAGTAAATTTCTTTGTAAATATATTTTAGAGTTATAATTAACCACCGTACCAGTACGACCGATGTAAACAACGCACCCACGCATTAACAAGATTATTTTTTATTATTGATATTATTAATTTAACCATAAAAGAATATCAGAAGTAATACAATGAAGTTGGTTTTCTTCTAAGTTGATTTTGATAACCGAAGGGTTTCATGCTGATAGTGACAATCGGCATTTGATCATAAAACATTAGTTTATTATGAATAGGAAAGGGAAAATATATTTTCCCATTTCCGTTAAAGAGTTTAAGTGATCTCTCAATAAGCAATCCAGGGTTAAAGGTGTTTACTCCTCGTGTCGTATTAAGGTGAAGTGAAACCTCTTTCAAATCAGTCGATTTGAATACAACACTTTTTTTAAGGGTATCAGACCAAACTGTCCGAAACTTTGACACATGACTCGTGATGATTTAAGAATTATTCTGACATATTCAAAATTTGGATGAAAATAGAAAGGGTCAGGACAATTTTACGACAATTTAGAACACTCTGGTAGTCGATAAACTCGCATTTCAACGGGATAAAGGCAAAAAAAGTGTTGTATGCGCTTCTATGCTAAAACGATGGGAATACGAGGTCTCGGAGTGAAAATTTAATTGACCTGGAAATCACAGATGGCGCAGGGGGTCTTTTTGCAGTCAATTAAGGCTCCAGAAACCATGAATCCTGAGGATTTCTGGAGTCTTACTTCGATTTCTTTATAATTATTGTACGAAAACGACTGGTGGAGTATGCCATTTGGTACAATACCCAATATAATTCGACACAGCTGTCGATATAAAAACAAACGTCGGCTACGTAGGGCATTTAGAAAAATCTTTTTTATCGACGTCGATCAAGTTCCTCGACGTGTTTCACTTCACCTTAATGGATCCGCAATGGTGAATCCTTTAGGATAATATATGGGAATCTTTCCGAGTGCGGGTTTCCCTCTCGCCCGACTCTCCGTACGTTTTTCATACCCCCGTAAACTCGTAGGACGGGCACACGGGGACGAGTAAATACATGGAAGGGGGCACATGGCCCAGTGGAAGTAACGACCGTGAGTGCCCGCCTTTGCGAAGTTTTCATCGGTTTACTCGGCCCATGCTCTTCGGATCTCGCGGTCGAAATGGGACCGAAGTCACCGATCGAGCTTTTACGGACCTCGTAGGAGCGTAATTTTTCACGAAATCCATCCGGCTCGTGGAAAATAAAGTCATTTCCTCGCTCCGATGTCGAGCGGATCCGAAACAATGCCGACTAATTGCGCGTCCAGGACGCGATTCAGAAACAGAAATCGATTTCCCTAAGTTAGCCGTCGACCGACCTGGACCTTACATCGCATATAACGACCGAGCTTCTCACCTACTTCGGCATCAATGGTATCAATGGTGTGATAAGCTCTTTGTTACCGACAGTCTTGATGAAACGGATATCCAGAAATTATGAAGGAAACGATTAAATATCAAAGGAACATTCGCGAAAGGCGAATTTCGATACAGTATGCTCGCGGTATTCGGAAATAGATTTGTATGTTTTTTTGCAAACTCTGACCCGTCGTGCGATTATATTAATATTATTAATTAAATCCTCTTTGTTACCGACAGTCTTGATGAAACGGATATCCAGAAATTACGAAGGAAACGATTAAATATCAAAGGAACATGCGCGAAAGGCGAATTTCGATACAGTATGTTCGCGGTATTCGGAAATAGATTTGTATGTGTATGAAAAATATTATGAAAGCACATGCAGGTAATATTATATAAATATTATAGGGATAATATTCTAAAGTAAACGTTTTGTAAATATTTCAAATGTCTGGTAAATATTTACAAAATGTACGATATTCGTTAAATATATAGAAGATATAGGACAAATATTTTGTATTACTAGGGTAGTTTCATTCTACATTTTTTTTCCCCCTTTTATATATTTTATCCGCAGTTTTCCCTCTTGGTGCAACGGCCATTTAACTCGTATATCATCCTGGGTTGTGTAGCTTTCATTAATTGCGATCATGGCTCGGAAATGTTCCCGGTTTGCAGCCATTCGTAAATGCGATATAAAAACTTGTCTTCGAGAATTTACGGCGCAACAAGTTTTAACTCTGGAATGTTTAAATTGGATATGACAAATACGTAGCTTTTATCGTATCCATTTTGCCCACCTGACGTTTACTTTTGTTCAGTGCTCGATTTTGAGCATTCCTAAGAAATCAATAGAAGACTTAGTTTCTTATCGGTGGTACTTGATATTAAATTACGGGGCAGATTGTATCATATTGGTATGATTTTAAAAATTCCTACATTTCGAGGTAAATTAATTTCGGTGCTCGAGATATTACTTTTATTTATTTACGAATGCCGGCGTACGTCCTTTCGTTTATATTGCGTTTTAACTAATTAACATGTTAAGAGAAGGTGGGCATAATGCTGATTACAATTACATTTTTCACTAACCAATGATGTATACGTAAAATCAAATTTAATGTACAACTTAATTTACATTTCTTAAAATATATGTTTGTCGATTAAATGCAAATGACCGGTTACGAGTTTATCAACACTGAACACTATGTTAAGCCGTGCGATCGCTGCAGAGTGATTAGAATTTTCATGAAGATGGATTGAAAAGGATTTCCGCATATTCTTAGGAGGATTTTACTAGCTTTCGTGAGTGAAAATGGGATTACGGTTAATTAACCGTATGCTTGGTATTAATTCACGATTTTTGCTAAGGGCAAACCGTGAGATAAAGAATTTTTTTCGTCGAGTTGTGTCGCAGCATCGTAGACCAAATATCCTCGATAAATCATTCTTTATATAACAGAGGTAGATTCACTGCTCATTACGAAAAAGCTTCCCTAGTAGCACAAAATATTTGTCCTATATTTTCTACATAACGAATATCGNCGTGCATAATTAACGTCACCGATGCGCCTATTTTATGATGTCAGGTTTGATGAGTAAATTGCCGTGGTCATAACACCGTGCAAATTCTCGTAAATTTCAAGGGTGGACATTCTAAATGAAGACCACGTGTTTCTAGCAGTAGCTAGAAGAGTCGCTGCAGTATTCTTGTAAACTCTCACAACGGTCAGGTTACGATCGAAAGGGTGGAAACGCCCTGACTTTACCGAGCTCGTCCCTAGACACTTAAACCCAGTCCAAACGGCTCTACGAGAGTTCATTTCAGCTCGTTCGTTTACTTGTTTCAATTACATCCGGTTGTTTGCTCATCGATCCAATCGATCGTCCCGTTGAACACAACTTTTGTATGCGTAGGCGAAAGCGCGACCTATCTGTAGACAATTTGTATAACCATCATTGAAGAATAATAACCGACTTGCACCTTTCTTATGATAATCTACCAATAAAATTAATTCATACATCGACGAACGTTTCAACCAACTTTTGGGATGGTGTTGCATTTGTTACTGAAAAAATGAGCCACGTCAGCACTACACGAACAACGTTAAAACCGAATGCAAAGGGGGAGAAAAAATAACTTTTTTGATCAGACCTATCCTTTCTACTTTTGATAAATTCGATGATATTGAAGGAATCAAAATCCCCGTAGTAAGAGCACTTCGTGCAATAGGATAAGTAGGGGTAAAAAATATAGTTCAGCTCTTTGTTCTTTTGCCGTCAACGCTGAATCTGTCAAAGTGAAATATGTATCGAGTGGAAGAAGTTTTTATATCAATTTTCAAATTGCTTCTCCTTATAGTCCGACTAGTTATCGGATAAAATGTGCGCATGAGGTTTTAATGTATGTAAACACGAAGGGAAATGCACTTTGCAGTTAGGGTGTGCCTCGTAAGATGGAAATTTATCGGTGCCTCGTTAGAAGATGCTAATTTATTGGTGACCTCGCGTGGTCATTCTTATAAACGGGGCAGCCATAGAAAAACAATGTTTCGGATAAATAGTAGCATAGAATAATTTATAAATATTTCTTTGCAACCTTTGCTAAATATCTCAAGCGACAGATTTTTTTAAGATCTCTTGTAGATTTCATTCGAAGATATTTGAAATATTTCGTGAAAATCTCAATGACATATTTAGTTTCANATTTTCATGAAATATTTCAAATATCTTCGAATGAAATCTTAAAAAAACCGTCGCTTGAGATATTTAGCAAAAATTAGAAAGAAATATTTAGAAATTATTCTATGGTACTAGGGTCCGTTCACGACCTTAGGTATTGTTTATCAAAACCTTGCTTATTAAACTTTGATCAATCTACTTATCTCATCCCTTTATATAATACTTGTCGGTTGTTCGCATCTTTCTTTGACCAGTTAATTGGGTGTAACGAGATTCCCCATTGAAAAACGAGTTGTACAAAAGTTAATTCCCCGATTAACAGGTTAAAATCCACATCGAAGATAATTTTCTGGGTAGTTGGTGTTACTTAAGAATGCAATAATTGTTTCAGGTCTACCTAGCGAGTTGAGCACCTTCTGGCAGCAATACCCCTTTAAGCTTGGGGTTGGCTTGTGTAAGCTGCGAGCGTATGTCTCGGAGATGTGAGTTCAGAAATAGGACGATAAAATCCGTAAAAAGAGTTCGATACTTAAAGGATAAAGTAGCTCATCTGGGACGGACAATTAAAAAAGAAGGAAAAAATTGACAGATTTACTGGACGTATCAAATCCTTTCAATATACGAATATCTTTTACGGCACGTTAAGCGTTTTTCATTCATACTCCCCAGGGAGTAAATGTATCAAGAGTGTTCGAGTAATCACTGTATTAAACAATGCTGGGGTGAAAAGAAAACATTCCCAAATAATGTGTGCCATTGGAGTATTTGGAGGGAAAATAAAGTGATTAGGACATTAGGAAAAAAATCGTACAGTTGTAAGGACGTGTTAATTCATGAACATCTGGGAGCACAATTGTTAGAGTAAAATATTGCGTGCCTTTTGTTTTCATTTTGCGACACTTGGAAGCATTCATTTTTAATAAATCTAAATTAAAATGATCAATCGCTTCAATTACTAGAATTTATGGACTCATGGATGACTTGTATCCTGGCGGACACGAATGTCTTTCTTTTTTATTCTGGTAAAGGCATATCCATAGAGGAAGCATTCGTGTGCGCCGCTGTACAGATACGAACGTTTTTCAAAATTACAGACTATAATTTCAGAAATGATGTACACGTTAGTTGAAGGTCAGTGCAACTGTAAACGGTGCAGTATTTCCTCCACCTTGATTGTGTTCTAATTATAAGTCACTTTCTGGGCAGCTGAGCCTTTTTTACGGTGTTGTAATTGCGAAGGGTTATAATTTTACATGTTCACGAAAGTCTTTATTATAGGTGCTGGTTCTTATCTTGTCTGACTGTAACCACTTTTCTAGGCCAACAGTAGCACTTTCACCTATTTAAGATACATAAGATAAGTGTTACCGATTTTACAGCAGGGAAAGGCTAAATCAACAGACTATATGGAACTTCTGCTTACTTGGAAACATTTACTTTCCTTACATTTATAATGACTCAAAGAACAATCTCTTCACTCTGAGAAGATTATTAATTATTGCGGAAAGACAAGCTCCCTTAAACGAAGTGTAAATTCACTGATCCGTAGATAAATAATTAACTCGAGTACGTGTTCCTGAAACAAGAGCGTCAACAGCTAAATTAATTAGTAAATTTCCCGATGCGAACAACATTAATTCAATTAAAGTTCATGCATCGTGGCAAGACTTCGATTATCCTCAAGTCACTGTAGGTACATAAATCTGGGTGGAATGACTCCATTTTTATTGAATTTTAAAAGCATATAAGAGATGTATCATGTATATAAGTCTATTAATTATGGTTTCAAGCGACAGAATTTATTCTGATACTTGAGTATTTCTAACGCAAAATGGTTCCATATTTTTGGGAATGATTTCTTTGTCGTATACTCCAAACCGAATTGCGCGGAAAAAATTTACAAGAGATGCTTTAATTTTTTAAAGGCATAATAGAATTAAAATATTTCGACAAGAATCGACGAAATGTGACTACTCGCACGCTGGTCGTTCGCGCGAAATAAGAGTTTAAGGGGAGTTTGGAACCGATGAAGGAATTTCAGTTGTCCGAGTCATATTTCTTGTACCACATTTTCAAGGTCTTCATACGTCTCCGTATTAACGATAGTGGTCTTCTCGGTGGAAAGGTATCTTGCCATTTGTTACCCACTGCTCATGTTCGTGATGAGCACTAAGAGGGCGATATGCTTCATCATAGCTGTATGGTTGATAGCACTGGTCTTTGCTCTGCCTATTGCGATTTTTATCAACGTTAATTACGTGCTATATCCACTAGGTAAGTAGATATTACCAAGCAAACCAAAGAAATATCCAAACGCATTTTTATCAAAGATAGATCACGCTTTTTACTACTTCAATAAATTGTTTTTAGCTCCCACATTCAATGTGGGTACGATAAACGCTTCATGACTTACTAGCTTGACATCTTTTAAGTGTACAGGAAATTACTTCTTAAAACTGTTTTATTTTCCTGATAAGTACATCTTTCACGGAGGGAAGTTGAATGTAAACGCGAAGAAATCGATGCAATACCGGAGTAAAGTTTATCGTAACAAGAAATACTTTGACTATAAGTACCACATTAAATTATGTCACATGATAACAAAATTAAGTGGGCTAAATCAGTACTGCATGAAAGGGATGCAGATATGTGAAGTGCAGCAATTAGTATCTACATATGTTTCGTATCTTGTACCCAATTGTCACCCTGATACATATGACAATGTGTGTTCAATATCAAAGATATTATTTTTGCTGTCTAAACGTAGGGAAATAGTGTTACTTATTTATACGTATTTTATTTCATTTTATGACTCTCTTTTTAGGATCGACCAGGAAGTCCGAGGATTCGGCAATATGCGCATTGTTATGGCACAATTTGCCGGACTTCCCTCTGTATGAAGTCAGTTGTTTTCTATTCTTCTTAGTACCACTGGTCCTGATAATGGTGCTGTACATAAAAATGGGACTTAAAATCCATGAAAATGTGTTTGATCGTACAATCGAAGGCTCCATCCACGGGGAAACGAGACAAGCCCAATCGCGAAGTACTATCACTAAGATGCTCAGTAAGTTGACTTTTTTATCTTGTTCCTTAGCTCTCTGCCTTGCAAAATATTTCTTTATAATATGTTATGTAAGAACAATAGTTATTATATAAAGTTTAAATAATGTACTGAGTGCATTTATACTGAACGAAATATTTCATTTTTCGACTGTATACAATGTTTTATAGGAATAACATGTTCCATAGAGAATATTCCATCACATGGTCGAACATTTTTTCGGTGAAATTCGTCGCATTGGAAAGATTTTAAAACCCTCGCAACTCCAGGCAAATAAATCTTTCCGACTCTCTCTTTCTCTCTTCATTTTCTTTCTCTTCATATTTCGCTTGATTTACGTACGTTGGACATTACTTTTAGTTCACGTGCATACTTCCCATTTAAGAATAACCGCAGCACAAATCCGATCTTTCATACACGTATAATGTGTGTTAAATCGTCAGCTGTAAATTTTATTACCTCTTTGGAGAAACAAGTCACTTTCGTGGTTACGGTATCATTAGCTATAAATAAACTAATAGTTCAAACGTTTAGGTGGTATAAAAAAGCATGGTGCAAGTGAAAGAAATATCTAAATATTAGCACACATTTGAAATATTTGCAAAACGTTTACTTTAGAATATTGTCTCTATAATACTTATATAATATTAGCTCCATGTGTTTTCATAATATTTTTCTATCAGATATACAAAACATTTCGTTTGATTTTAATACAAGTATTTTTTAAATATTGTCTGCCGAATACATGATAAACGTTTTAAAAATATTTAGAATCAAAATCACACGTTTTGCTCCCATAATTAAATAGCGGAACGAAAATATTAGAAAAATTTCTCGTGTTTTTTTATACCAAATGAAGTGTCCGATAATAGTCGTGAAGTAAAAAATATATTTTTATTATGTTAAGTTAAAAAATATAATTTCTCTATATGTTTATGAATTATTGAAACTAAATATGTCATTGAGATTTTCAAGAAATGTTTTAAATATCTTCGAATGAAATCTACAAGAGATCTTAAAAAATCTGTCGCTTGAGATATTTAGCAAATATTACGGAGAAATATTTAGAAATTATTCTATGCTACTAGGGTTAGCTGCTGACTCTCAGGATGTTCTCTGAACAGTTCTGTTCTTCCGTCGACATCTTGGCTTAACTGGCGAAGTTGTTCTCATCTGGATGAGCGTCGTTCACTTTGTCACATTATTTCGCATCACCAATTTCAACGCTTCGGGAGTTCCCTCTAGGACTCCCTGTACCGATTGCTTTCCATTTTCAATTTAATTCCAGACGGTAACGAAAATCTTTTCCTTCCTGACGATTATAAGAGTCTCCGTAGGGAACAATGAGAGTCCCATACGGATGTCTAGGATTTGTGTTATTTTTAAGATTTAACTCTTACTTCGGGGATTTAATATTTATCTTCTCATTTTATTGCTCACCAAGGTGCCGTTGTGGTCACTTTCTTCTTCTGCTGGGCTCCTTTCCACGCGCAGAGGCTTCTCTACGTCTACGCGTCAGCGGCAACCTTCGAGGATATTAACAGGTGGCTTTACCCCCTAACTGGGTACTTCTATTACTTTAGCACCACCGTCAATCCTATTCTCTACAACGTGATGAGCGCCAACTACAGAAGCGCTTTCAAGCAGACTCTCTGCTGCTCGACGGGGAGTCCCTCGCTCAGGAGGAACATCAGCAGCGTTAGGGCCAGCTCAAGCAGAGAGGGTAACAACGATCGTAGTACAAAGTAAGCTCCGATGTATGAGTATACTCGAATATCTTTTTCGATTTTCTAATTCGAAGCAGGCAGAACTGGGCTCTAGAAATCTTCTTGACATCATCTTTTTCGATCCAAGAGGATGTAAAATCCTTGAAAATATTTTCCTGACATTTCGGAGCAATATGAAACTAAACCCTCTATAACGAAACACGTCTTTGAAGTCACCCCCTTACTTCGATCGGCAGAAGTGGGTTCTAGAAATCTTGTTGACATCATCTATTTCTACCTAAGACGATGTAAAATCGTTGAAAATATTTTCCTGACATTTCGGAGCAATATAAAACTAAATTAACCCTCTATAACGTTGCATGTCTTTGAAGTCACCCCCTTACATCGATATTTTTAAGCCTTACTAAATTTCTCCTGCAAACGTTAATGTAGCACCTCATTATTGCCCCACTTCTTTGTAACCAAGGAATATCTTTATAAAGTTACAATTTATTGCAATGTACATAAATGGTACGTTTATAAGCAAATAGATAATATCGGGACGTTAATACTTGAAAGTTTCACGTTGTATCAACTTTTTCTTGGCATAAGAAAACTTGGGTTATAGAGGGTTGTGCACATTTTTCGTATGCATACATAGCGTAATCATGAAAACGGATGAAATTTCAATTAATGTAACGTGGACATAGGATATAACAACCTTTCGACATAATACACCTTGTGAAAAGTGTTCACAGCGTTGGCCAGAAACCAGAAATCGTCTGTCCTTTCGAGAGGGTGTCCACAAAGAACGAGGAGAATCTGTGTAAACCGATGTTGAAGAAGTCTTCGGTGTTGGTCAGGTCAACAAATGGCCGAACAAGATGTCACGCGTCCGAGAAAATCGCGCCGTCAGGTGAGTCGTGAATTTATTTATTTTTATTTTATTTTATTCTGATCCTTAAAGTGAGCCGTCGTAATTAGCGTATACAGATCCGTATTTAGCCAAATGATCGTATAAATATGAAATCAAGATCGATGGCGGAGCAAGTCACATAAAAATTGTTCTAAAATCGGAGAAGTCAGGTTTCTAAACGAATCCTTGATTGCAGGTACCCCGAGCTTATGTTCCACCGATGTGATTTTATACGAGTCCTTTCTTCATGGGCATTCGGGTCCTGTGCCAGGATGTCGTAACTGCGCAACGAAGGAGACTCTCATTTAAACGTTAAGCCATTCATTATAGCTGCGATGATGATTTTATCCATGGAAATGACGCTCGTGTATAGTTGATCGTGTTAAGGAGATGGAAGGATTCCGCGTTTGTGATTAACCCTTTGGCTACTCAAGAGCGCCTAAAGGCGCCCGATGTTTGGTCCAATATTGCCTGCACGGTCAGAGGAATTTCGCCCGTATGTCGAAATGGCTCCGTGTTCAAAGGGTTAAAACGGAACAGTGTAATCTTATGGAGGGTAAACTGATCCTGTTAAATGTCAAGGTACCTTGACATCTTGCTTTTCATGTAATTTCTTCTCAGTGTCTTGTCGTGCCGAATCTTTGATACTATTCTCGCACGACCCAGGAAACTCTTTAATAAAGAAGGATGTGAGCAGTCGAGATGGAAACTTCAGGGAGCAACTTTGGCTGAATGTTACAAAATAATCCAGACCATCCAGATATCCAAGCAGCGAGAATCTAGTTTACTGCAGACGCTTTGAGTTTCTGCTTCAGTAATTTCCATGATGGGGATCAATCCAATTTAATCCAGACCTGCGTCTCAATTGCTACACCATGGCAATACGGAGGATTCTCTTCCCGATTAAAAATGTCAAGATCAAATTAAACATTTGGGGGATTCTTAGTTTCTCAGGATGATTTTTTAGTTAACATTGATTGTAAGGCGTGCATAAACGTCAACAAAGACCTGAAAATATGATAAACTAAGTAAGTACTGCCCATACGGTCATTTTTATCACTTTTAGTACGTTAATTCCTTTTCCTAAAAGGAAAGATATAAGTCTTCCGAATTCCAATATCAATATAATTGGTATGCCGTAGGATATTCCTTGTCTAAGCGGACACGTTGAACATTCACTTAATCACTAAGAGTTCTTCTCAATGTGGCTGTTGCACCTAAATTATGCTTCATGGAGCAGGCTTAAGTGTAAGCATTATTAAGAAATAAATGTGCTGTATTTTAAATCCTTCTTTCCTTCGAGCCTTATTACTTTCCATTTATTAGAATATCAGAAAAAAGGCATAATTTTGCGATACGTGGCTCGATTGATTTCCAGACGAGAGGGCTTGCTTCCATACATTTTAAAGTACCAAGTAACTTTTTCTCTATTCAGTACGTGTAAAGTGTACATAAAAATCGAATGAAAATTCAGACATTTAAAGTACGATCAGCATAGCATTTTCCTTCGAGCCTTATTACTTTCCACTTATCAGAATGTCAGAGAAAAAAAGGCAAAATCTTGCGATACGTGGCTCGATTCATTTCTAGGAGAGAGGGCTTGCTTCCTTATATTTTAAAAGTCATTTTTTCTCTATTCAGTACGTGTAAAGTATACATAAAAATCGAATGAAAATTCAGACATTTAAAGTACGATCAGCATAGCATTTTAAATCTTTCTTTCCTTCGAGCCTTATTACTTTCCATTTATCAGAATATCAGAGAAAAAAGGCAAAACCTTGCGATACGTGGCTCGATTCATTTCCAGGAGAGAGGGCTTGCTTCCATACATTTTAAAGTACCAAGTAATTTTTTCTCTATTCAGTACGTGTAAAGTGTACATAAGAATCGAATGAAAATTCAGACATTTAAAGTACGATCAGCATAGCATAACTCTTGGGATTACGGTCGCATCAACCACCGGTATATTAAAAACATTAGCATTATTCAATCTCGAGTCTCTGCAAAATTGTCCCATAAAGTGTTCAGGATATATCCTATAAGATGAAAGAAAAAAAGAAAAAAAAATTAATAGATTCATATATCGAGCCGCGAGTCGCACTCCTGGCTTTGTGCTATCAATCGCGATGCCCCCGGATCTGAATTAGACATTCATGGGTATTATCGGACACTACAAAGTCGGCTTCGTGTGATGTCCAATAACTAGAGGGAATCCTCGTAACCGCACACGCGGACGGAATACAACTAAACGGGTAAAATTGAACCCGGAGGAGGAGCGATTCGATTTGGGAGTTATTGCCACGCTTGTGAAATTACGACAGCGATTTACTGGAAGCCGAATAACTCGGTGCGGATGAACAGGAGTGCCCCAAGCCCAGTTTGTGGAGGATACGTTTTCCACGGAAATGCTTCGAGGTTGCTATCGAGTCAACTAAGTCGTTTTAATCCAGGACATCTCATTTTTCCTACTATTACTATATATAAATATTTTTTTTTAAATAATTTACACAAGGGTTGAAGCAATTCCCTAGTAGCAC